AAGAATCTAGTGGGCTGCTGTAATTTTTTAGGAAAAATCTAGTCGGCCGCTGTTACTTTTAGGATGTTCCTAATATTATTTTATTTGACCATTACTCTACTGCAATACGTTATTATCTAGATGATTATTATTATCGTTATTATCACTAGATTCTTAATCTAAAAATGTTTTTTGTCCTGACATGTAATGCTTTACATTTTATTTTTAATTTTCAATCGGTGAGTGTTATCAAAAAACACAAGAGGTAAAAAGTTTCTAAACAAACTAAACTATCCAAATTAAAGCATTTGCATGTGTTTGATAAGATTTTCTTTAAGTTTCGTTAACAAAATGATAGGGGTAGTTTATTTCAACCCCTTCCACTCATTTTAAAAAAGTAAAAAAATTACCTGAAAGTGTGTTTTCATAACAGTAATGCTTCCATAAAATTTCATTAGTCTATCTCTTTTCGTTTTCAAGATAAAAAATAAAAACATTATTTTTCCGCCATCTATGTACCACGATATCCCCCTAATGGTTGACTTTTGACCCAACGTTTATAAAGCAAACTACCCTTTATTTTGAACAAGGAATCACCCCCTTTAGTTGCCAAACCAAACCCTCAAGTTTTTCGCATTTGTTTTGAAACACCCTGTATATCATTGTAATCACAATACTTCAATCTATTTCCGAATTGTAACGGAATTTTAAATTATGTCTTTATTTTCGAGAAAATTTAGTCCAAACATAAGAAATATTTTGTTGATGTTTGACCATCAAAATCTTAAAAATTAAGAAGTTGTCTAAAAATATGCTACAATACGGATATAGTATAATCTTTTATCTTTAATTTCCTTCTTCATTTGTGTAAAAATACCTAGCCAGTTTGACATAAAACGTTAAATGCTGAACGCTTATTTTGCTATTTTTTCGGACTAGTGAAATGGACTCTTAAGTTCCCATCCTTCATAGACCTACATAAATTGGTGCGGGCACAAGAATATAAGACTAGATGCAGACATGGGGATAAACACAATAGGCATAAAGGGCATAACATATTTTAGTTCAGTACATAGATGATTTTTGTCCTGTTATTATATGGTTTTATTATTTAATACTTCGAAATATACCTTTCTAACAATTGACATTGGATATGTTTATACATATAGATCAAGACCTTCCGTAAAATTTTTAAACATCAGTGTGAGAGTAGATTTGCATATTGATTTCTAGGTCAAAATCAGGTATATTTGACGATTGATGATATTTTGCAGAAACGTACCAATTGAAGTCAAGTACGAATTTTATTCTTGTTATTACTAATTTATCTCACTACTCACTATATTACACCTACGCACGTTCTCATTTATAATATCCATTCATTAAATAGATAAATAATAATATTCCTCAACAGAAAATAATATTTATTTATTATGTGTATATTTTAAAATATTCCTTATTTTCCTTTGTATGTATAATAAATATATAAATATGTTAATGTTTTTAATGGGGAATCCCTTTTCACGATGGGTTTATAAATACAAATCATAATTTATTATTGCTTTTTTAATTTTATTTAAAACTCAAACTTTGCAATCAAAAATTTTATGATCAAAGGAGCTTTGATTTTAAAAGTTAAAAATTCTGATGTTGATTTTACATAAGCATTGTTTCATCATCATCATCATTTTCAGCTTATTCAAGTATTTCCAATTATGGTGTAGCCTCCCTCATATATTTAGATACTCTCTTTGTAGTTGGGCCCATTGTTGTCGATTGTTGGCTATGCGGGTCCAAATTATCCCTGCTCATTTCCTAACACCCAAGCAGCATTTGGACGTCGGGACAACGTTGTGTCACGCGACCAAACGTCGGGGCGCAACGTCGGCACAACCTCGTGCCAACCCTAGTCTGCACTAGTTTGGAGAATAATTTTTGGGTCGAAACGACGTTGGATAGCGACGTTGGCTAGAAGCCTAATTTAGTACAAACTGCAACGTTGTTTAAAATCCTAATTCACAGAAATACAAAACTAATATGGCGTCTAAGTCGCGTTTTATCCTAAATTGGGATAATTATAGTAAAAATATTATTTTTATGATTTAGTTAGACACATATGTCAGATGGCAGTGAAGGAAAACAAAACAAAAGTATTTAAGTGTGGAGGATGTTTGAAGTTCATAATTATTGAAACACTTTAACCGACTCTGTAACTCGTTACCCAAGGCAAAAAAGTTAAACGCAAACAACTTTATTGATAAATGTATTGTTTCTACTTTGAAAAATACTAATGGGCCTTAAAATTAAAGAAATTTTAAAAATTTTCTTGAATTTTTTTTTTTAGTAAAATGAGAATAATTTATTCGCAGTCGAAAAAATTGTTTCCGCGTGTTTTTTAGGGTCAAATGTTTTAAGTTAATGTATTCAAAAAGCAAGAATTGTTATTTTAGGAACGAAACATTTCCTTATTTAACAACATGGCGGCTTTCCCTTTGTTGTTTTGGAGATTAAGATGGAGTAGTTCGAGTAGTCGCTTACTGGACTAATAAAGTCGCAGTTCGGCCTTAACAGGTAGTATACTAGTCGCAAGATTGCCTAATTTAGTCATCCTAGAGTCTAGCTTGTGCCGCCCTCTATAATGTAAATAAACGAGGGAGTGGATAAACATCGGTAATATATGTCGATGTATATTTAAATTTAGTTTTATATGTACCTTTCTTATGTCCCATTTTAATTAAGTTTTTTTTATAAAAACAAAAACAGCACTGAACTGTCTGACTGAACAGAACAATGAAGTGAAAATTTAAGATTTAAGGTTATGGTTCAATACAGTTGCAAAAAGGTAGTGACTCGACGTCCTACCAACGTAAGAATAAGGAAATCTAAACAACGTTGGAATTAGTAAAACAGACGACGTTTGCATAACGTTGGAAAGGTCCTGAAACTGACGTCGGAAAACTCATATTGTTCAACGTTGTAACTACGTTGTCCGAATCACCTAAAGATCATTTAAGTAAAAAAGGTTACAAGACAACGTTTATTCGACGTCGCAGAAGCTTCTATTTTGCTGTAGTACTAGTCCAACGTCGGCACAACGTTATAAAAACGTTTAAATTTATTTTAATACCCAAGGTAAGGAGCTAACTATTTTTTGTAACTAATCCAACGTTGTGTTTAGTAAACATGTGGTCGCAAGTCGTGAAAATGCTACTTGGGCATCATGGTCCCATCTCAAATTTGGTCTTCCTCTAGGTCTCTTGATTCTTTCTGGGTACCATGCTGTAATTCTTGTTGTCCATCTGTTGTCTGTCCTTGCCAGGTGTCCTGCCCGTTGCCACTTGAGGGATTTTATTCTGTGGATGACATCTGTTACTTGGTTCCTGGGTCTTTTGTCATATCCACTCTATTCTTTTACGGTCTCTCTTGGTTATTCCCAGCATATTTCGTTCCATTAGGCGTTGTGCGACCTGCTGTTTCCTTATAATGTCCGTTTTAAGTGTCCAGGTTTCGCATGCATAGGTCATGACTGGTCGTATGTTCTCTTCTTTAGATAAAATGGCATTCTAGATTTGAATATGATTGAGTTTCTTCCATAAGTACTCCATGCTAACTTAATTCTTCTGTTAATTTCTGGTAGTAGAGATCCCGATCTGTGTATTAGTTGCCCCAAATTGATGAATATGAAATTGATATATATTCTTCTACTATTTCCAGTGTCGTGTTATTTCCTAGAATGTCTTTTTTGTCTGTCAGTTTGTTGTTCATTATTTTAGTTTGTGCTAAATTCATTTTGAAACCTACTTTATTGCTGGGTGTATTTAGTTCGTTAATTTGTGCTTGTAGTTCTTCAGGACTATTGGCAATTAGGACTATGTCATTAGCCAATCGTAGATGTTCTCCAGATATTCTCCATTTATTTTTAATCCTTTGTTGGTCCATTTCAGTTGACGGAAGATTTCTTCTAGTGTTGCTGTAAACAGTTTTGGAGATATCGCGTCTTCTTGTCGTATTCCTTTGCCAGTTTGGAACTCTGGGGTTGTTTTATATATTATTAGTCATGCTTTGGCTTCCTTGTATATATTGGCGAAAGTTTCTATATAAGGCCTGTAAATACCTTGTTTCGCTAGAGCTTCTATTATTGCTTGAGGATATCATCAGCATCATCATCATTTAGCTTATTCCGTCCACTGCTGAACAAAAGCCTCCCTTAACTCTAGCCATTTCTTTCTATTTTGTGCCACTTGAATCCAGTTTCCAGCCACTCTCTTAATATCATCTGTCCATCGACTAGGAGGTCGTCCTCTGCTTCCATAGGCCTCGTGTCTTGGTCTCCATTCCACAAGCCTCTTTGTCCACCGTCCATTTGTTATCCTAGCCACGTGTTCTGCCCAATTCCATTTAAGATATAAGACAGATATCACCGCATCTCTTACTCCTGTTCGATTTCGTATGGCATGATTGGGTTATTTATCTCTAAGTGTAACTCCCAACATGGACCTTTCTATTTTCCGTTGCAGGACCTGTAGTTTGTGTATATTCTTTTTTGTCAAAGTAAGCGTTTTACCTCCATACGTGAAGACAGGCAAGACACACTGGTTAAAGACCTGCCTGAGGATATATCGAGTGGAAAACCTTCTCAAAATCTATTAAGGCTATGCGTAGTGGAAGTGTGTATTCTTTTGTTTGGCCTATAGTTTCTCTTAGTGTATGTATTTGATCAATCGTGCTGAAGCCGCTTCTAAAGCCTGCTTGTTCTTGTGGTTTTGCAGCGTCTGGCGTGTTTTGTATTCTGTTGTTTATTATTTTTGTGAATATTTTGTATGTTACTGGTACTAGGCTTATTTGTCTATAGCTTCTAATGTCTTTTTGCTGCCTTTCTTATGAATTGGGATTATGTTGGCGCTATTCCAGTCTTGTGGTATTTGTTTTCAACTTAGACCTGGCAACAAATAGGGCATAAAATAAGGATAACCAAGGAGGCAGGACTACTTACAATACTTATATTTATGAAAGAAACAATCTTTTTACTCACCTTTATATATTTTAGAATTTTACATAATAATTTAAATATCTGTATAAACATAGAAAAAATACATTAATACACTTAGTTTTGTTACAATGATTTTTAATTTATATTAACTACCTGAACTGGTATAGAAACCGATTTTGGTTTGGTAAGGGTTAGATAGAACACCATAGCCGAAAAACTCAACATCCCACATGCTATAGTTATATAAAACACGTACCTAAACCAATAATCATTTTCTAACGATTCCAACTCAGTGTAGTACCATATCAAGCACATAACAAAATTCTCCATAAAAACCAAAACAAAAAATCCGTAATATATGAAGTAAGCCTTCTTAAATCTAATTTTGAATTCGATAATACAAAAAATATAAACGAAACCAAGAAAGATAAAGAACAGAGCTTTATCTCTCTTGATATTGTCAGTTTTGACATCGTAAACCAGGATGGCGATGATGACAATGACGTGGCAGATTACTGACCACACGCAAGCCTTCATGTAGAAATAGGCGAAAACGGATATGGCCAGTATCCTTCCCAAAAGAAAGGTGAACCACCAAGAAAAGGCTACGATTTTGCCGGCCAGGTCGTCTTCTTGAAGGCCTTTCACATATATTATTCGAGATATGTTGAAATCTGGTTCGGATCTGCTCGAAACGGATACGATTCTGCTTTCTGAAAAACCTAAAATAAAAGAAAAATATTTTAGACTTTGATCGGGGGATTTGATCGAAGCACTTAATTATGCATGCTTTATTTGTTGATGGTTTTGTTGCTAATCAAAATTTATTTAAAATAGACTAGGATGTATCATTTAATTATCTTTATATTATATAAACAAAGACCTGTTTATAATTAAATTCATTGTGACGTGCTAAATGATCATATACAGGTCATTCCAAAAATATGTTTAAGACAAATTTGGTAGATACCCAAAATTTGTTTATATCTATAACTATAAAAGATTCTAAGTTTGATTTTCTTGGATTTAGGTTCGGAAAAACGCTGATTAGGACTTCATTTAGTTTAAATATCTTTATTTGGGTTTAAAAAACAAACCTTTCGGCTAACATTATAGCCTTCATCAATGTTATGTCATATAATAAAAACAGTGTCGAATATTAATGTCCAAAAGTTACATCTAAAACATTAATTTTTGGATATTTATTTTACTTATAAAAATTTAGTATTTTAAAAAAATGAATTTTCTAAGAATAACTATAAAAGATGTAGTTATATCTTTATAACGAGTGCGTGTCAAAGAGTGGCTCACCCCTATAACTTTTTTATTTATTCAGATAAAAGGATTAGGATTGATTGGCGTATTACAACTTTTAATTTTTAAATGGCACCCTCGGTATATTTTTACTTTATTCGATAGACAATGACACTCTGAATAAATGATATATCGAGTGATATATCATATGTCAACTTTTGATATTTTCGCTTAACAAACGCTTGGCTGTGTTAATTTTTTTTAATAAACACTAATTTTTAATCAAGGAGCCTTGGAATAATAGTTTTGATCGTCTAATGTTTTTCGTGTCTTGTCCTGGCCGGTTAAAAGATGCCCAAATCGTATTTTTAATCATCTCATTTTTTTCAAATGGAACAAAGCTGGTTCATAAGCATATTTGGAAAAAACATTTTTACGAATAATTTGGTACCACACTCTTGGTATTTCGAGTCAAATTGTCATTATGAATCACATATTATAATCTCACACAAACCATATGCGAAAAAGTCAAAAGTTGATATATTATATGTCATTCTATTCAGAGTGTCATTTTCAATCGAATAAAGTAAAAAAATACCGAGGGTGTCAAGATGTAGTCATTTCCGGTGAAACAGGAAGCGACCAAAAACAATTGAATACATCAATTAATCCTAATTTATGTCATATACTAACATACCAAATCTCGTTTTTTTTATCTAAAAAAATAAAAAAGTTATAGGAGTGAGCCACTTTTGAGACGCACCCAGTATAGGTAGAAGTGAAGAATTATGCTGTCAATTTATAGTCTTTGCAACCTTAGATGAACTAATGTATCATCTACAATCTATCTATCTAATATAATCTAGAATTTGCTTGATATGGAGGTTTAAATGCGTGATGACATCAAAAATAAGTCCTTGGATATTCCTCAAGAAATATAGTCCTTGCATGGAAACAAGTCCCTTATCAGCCACCTTAAGGAGGTTAATGCTACAGTAATTTTGATATATGACTTTTATTTATTATGGTTTAGCAACCATGACATATAATTAGATATAAGCCAAAACGTATTATCATATAATATTTCAACATTAAGGGTAATATCAGTTCAAAAACATATTTTAATTTGTAATTCACCATATTCACTAATGTCTATCACTTTCAAATAAAGAGATTTATAGTTATCTACAGCCTCCATTTAGAAAGTAAGACCAACCTGAATAATCAACTTCTGTTTCACTGACTACAGTAGACTCAGTAACATTTCTTCTATTGTCGACTTCATCTACACCAACATCGATAGGTTCCAAATAAATATCGCTACTTCGTCTACGGGCGGCTATCGTAGCGGGTTCTACCCTGTATAACCGAGAGATGTTACTGCTTCTTTTAGTTTCAACAACTGATCTACAAAGAAAACAGACAACATATCAATATTAATTATTTGTTTATATTAAAGTGTAATTGTAGCAGACATTGTTTCATTTGAAATAAAATAAAGTAATCTGTAAAGTATATCAAACTTCCATTGTATGTATATTCTGATGAACGTCTGACGGTCACCACGGCCATCACGGTCTTTCTGCCGAGGAGCAAGGGGAAAGACACTACCTATCTGCTGAGCCTTATCCAGGGTCAGAACTTCAATGTAATAATGTAATATCGAATTGGCGAGTCATCAACTCGAGGGAGCAGGGTCATGGTCAGGTCCTCACAATAGGAATTGACCTCAAATCTAAGGAAGCAATAGAGAAAGAGGGACATATCCTCTATTATAGATACGGGACAACACCGGTACCACGTCTAAGGAGAGACCAAGTTAAAGAGGTGGAGAAAATGTAGACAGATCCTCCAGCCTCCACCTCACGGGTTCCTCAGCCGGAGGCAAGTTCGTCGACTGTGAAGGGCGGCACGGAGGGCCAAACTCCAACCGTGGAAGGGTGTGACCCTCGGAGGAAGAACTGTTGTCAGAGGAGGATGGGAAATACCCTGTCGCCTCTACAACAGGGGTATGATGGGTTATAGACTGTGTGATGACTCAAGAAAGGGGGGCACAATAGATCTTTAAGTGATTAACCCCCCTCTTACTCATTCTACATTCTACATACCCTGATGACTTGTAGTTGCTTTAGCTTGTAGCTATTTAACCGTGAAAAAAAATACATGTGATATTGTGCTACAGTGTGTCCTGCATTGGTTTTCTACTGAATGCTTCCCAAACTGTTGGCCAACCAGTGATTGATATTAAAAGTTGGGTAAACGTTTTGCACCCGGTATGTACCCAATGCGTAAATACAGGGTATACTAAATTTGGGTACATAGTATTTACCCAAATTCAGAATACCCTGTATTTACTGCAAGTCGCACAACGCTCAATGGAACGAAATATGCTGGGAATAAGCAAGAAAAACCGTAAAAAATAGAATGGATACGACAAAAAGACAGGTAATAGATATCATCCACAGAATCAAATCCCTCAAATGGCAATGGGCAAGACATCTGGCAAGAAGGAAGGAGAACAGATGGATCACGAAGATTGCAGCATGGTACCCACGAGGAAGCTTGTTTTTTATCTGAAAAAATAAAAAAGTTATAGGGGGTGAGCCATTTTTGACAGGCACCTGGTATACCAGATATATACAATGTATGGATGATATTATTATCAGTAAAAAACTGCTTCTACCTTTTCCTCTAGAGCAGTTTGCTGTAGGCAACTTTAGCCTCTGACAGCTGACTACTGAAAGTGGTAATGATCTGAACATGAAGCATGATTGAAACCATCACACTGGTTTTTGATTGTCTCTTTTTATTGTGTTATACTCTGTTTTTTTTTCTCAGGTAAGATTTCGACAGACGATGACAGAAAAAAAGCAGATGACGTCATGACGTCCCATACCAATCTATTTATTTCACTAAAAAAAGTTTCTAATAATTTTTAAGTTAACTATGGATGGGTTTAAATATAAATCCGTCATGCGTCGTCTCTTGTTGTTTTTAACCAGTTTTATTGGTTTATTTCAAAAATGACAGATCGTATTTCAATTTTATTGGTTTGACGGAACGATGAACGACAACGACAACTGGTCTTTAGATTTTTGACGCTTGTCAAAGTCTTGCCAAATTATAGGTTATAATTTTGTGTCAACTTTTGTCAAATACTCTGCGTTTTGGAAGATGATGCGTGTGTTTTGTGTCTTTTGAAGTCAAGTGGAGGAAAAATCGAGTGAAAATTGACTGTAGATCCAGAGCACAGTTTATGGTTAATACTCGCTGCCCAGGCAGAAAGTCTTATACACCAATAAAGTTACCATCAATAAAGTTCGTATACCATTTCGTCGTAGATAAGTGCATCTCGTATATGGTAGAAGGACCATACTAAACACATACTAAAAACTGGAATAGCTGTAAAATATCGACATCACACGATAGGTAAATAATGGATTTTAGTAGTGCAGAAAAATAATGTCAAAAGACACTGATTTAAAAAAATTAAGATTAAAGTTAATTAATCAACCTTTAAGGTATAAAATTTGGTAAGTGTTATTATTAATAAAATAGTTTGTTTTATTATTCCTGTGGAATATTACAAATTTATATTTGTACATAAGTTATATTGATTATATAATCATAAATGCGGGAAGTTTCATGAAGCTTGAAAGTAAGAAATAGTTCTTTGTAATATTTTTTTGGTATGTGGTGTCTTGTTCTTGTTTGTTTTGCATTAACACACACCGTTTTTTGTTAAATAAAATAACTCGATTACATTTTTTCAGTTTTATACAGTTTTTTTCACAATATTTTGAAGTAATCACTTGTCAGTCAAATTTTAAATATATTAATTTCCTGCTATGCGTTCTAGTTGTACCAACTTATTTCTTGTAAAATAAAATAAATTACTTTGAAATTAAAATGACAGACACATCTATCATTGTCAAGGATCTTGTCGTTGGACAGACTTTAGTTGATTATGAAGTATTTAAAAATTAAAGTTATTCTATTGGTTTAATCAATTCTTTACTAAATAATATTTAGTTACACACCTGGATCTATACGAGTCCCTCAACAGCACATCTTGTTGTTCCGTGGTAATCTTTGATCTCATTATTTTATTCATTTTTAACCATGGATACTGGGCTCCAGTTAACTTCTGAGCTTTAAATCTCTGATAATAGGTAGTAGTGACTGCCACCTTAGCAAGATTTAATACGATTGAAAAGAACTGGACTTCTTCTGCAACATTCAAGTTTACATTAATGATTTAACACATACATAGATTTTTTTTAAAGTCTAAAAAAAATAATATGTAGTTTAATAAAAACAAACCTATATAGGTACATTACTTGACTCTCTGGCAATGTTGGCATTATGTCGCATAAGGATATATAATTGTAGAAGCACTTGTGGTAAAGAATGGAAATATGATTGGAGGAAAACGTACAGCTCAATAATTCTGGGAGCGCTGGCTAATGATGTGAATTTGGAGATACTTTGTTCATCTTTGCTTCTTATGGCTTCTATGGACCAAAAAATTCTTTCAGCAAATCTACAAAAAACGTGCATTATTGCTATTAAAAGTTTTTAATTTAATAATGCATATTCTACTAATAACTTATTTTTCTATACCTATATTTTAAATGGAACACCCTGTATATTATTGCATTTTTAGATTCCTTTCTGATTGCTTTACGTAATCCTAAAATATTATTAATTAAGCTTCGATAATTTCAGAGATATTAATAAATACGTAAAAAAAATCAGTCTTTTATAAAAAAAAAAATTTAAAATACAAGAAATGTCCTGAAATCGAAACTATACCAGATATTTGCTATTGGATTATCGTAGTCTTAAACCATACAGGATGTTCAAATTTCTATGCCAAACTTTCTAAAATATAAAATAAATTTTCTTTGTTTTTTTTTAATGGAACACACTATTATAGAATTTAAAGAGCTTGGATGGAGAATTAAAAAATGAACATTTTTTTGTATTTAAAGCATTTGAAATTTTTATCGGTTTCGCAAATATTCACGTTTTTATATATACATATGGCTCTTTCAATGCTAAAATACCAGACAAAAAGGTGGCTTTGTTAAAAAATTAATGTTGAAAAACCTATATGTAATATAATATTACGAATATTCGCAAAGCCGTTAAAATTTTAGAAATACTAAATACAAAATATTTTTTAATTCTTCTAAAATTCTCCTAAAAATCTCTGAAAAGAGTAATATACGGGGTGTTCCGTTTTAAAAAAAATGAAGAAAAACTATTTGTTTTAGAAAGTTTGGTATATAGTTTTGAACACCCTGTATGGTTTGAGACTACGATATCTATAGGAAATACATACATACAGATCAACTATAATAAACAGCTAGTATAATTTTGATTTCAGGACATTTCTTGTATTTTCAATAATTTTTTGTAGAAAAAGCTAAAATCTCTTTCAGAGATATTAAAAATATTTTTTAAATATTTATTAATATCTCTGAAGCTATCAAAACATATTTCATAATATCTTACGATTATATAAAGTGATAAGAAAGGAAGTCAAAAAATGCAATAGTATACAGGGTGTTCCATTAAAAAAAATCATCACGATCCACTCACACTTTTGAGCCACCTCATGAAATACATCCTAGTACATACTGTTGCGGACCCGTGTGAACTCGGCCTTAAGATTGATTTTCATGCATCCGTTGTCCGACGATACGTTGATAAAATATTAATTTCATTGGTTGTATTTAAAGGCTTCGATTGGTTAACCGTTTCTAACCAATCGAAGTCTTTAAATTCAACCAATAAAATTAATATCGTATCAACGTATCGTCGGACAACGGATGCATGAAAATCAAGCTTTAGGCCTGGCCACTCGCGCCTATGACTCATACGCCCAGCGACGCCGACGTTCTAGAACGAATAAGAATTGTCGAGACAAATCTGGATTGTCTGTTGCTCTCATATATAAGCAGACGCCTGAGGCCTGAGGAGGACAGAGAAAAACAACCGGTCGACGCGTACAGTTACAATCGCCGCGCAAATTCAAAACAAATTCCTGTTAGATAAATAGTTAGATAAATTCTAAATAAGTTATAAATAGTTCTTTAAGTTTTTTTAATCGTTATTGTTTGTTAATTAGTGTTAAATAAATTGTGTTTAAATAAATTGTGACTTTCTTTTCACACGGAACCGACGAAAAAAAAAAACGTAACAATACATTAGATTTGTACTTAATAATACAAAATTCCTAAGTTTTTGATTATAGAAGCTACAGATGCCCGACGCACTATTGCAGGACCCCGTATAATTCTACATATTGACATATTCTATAAAATAACAAAAAATAATGTACCTCCACATATTCCAAAATGGGAAGAATAAATGTTCCAATGTTTGCCTGAACGCCCACTTCACGTTATTCCTTGTGAGTCCCTTATCCGGTTCAGGCCAGTAGTCCCAGTCCGACATTATAATAACGTAGCTGCTCAATGCAGGAAGGTACATAATAAATATAGTCAAAGACGCCCATATAGGATCGTTGTCTTTGTAATGTCGAAAAATAACACCCACGTCCACGGCTATAATAAACTTATACAGGACACACGCTCCTATGGATGGTAGCAAGAAATTTACAAGAGCATTTTGGGTTGGAGTTAGCTCGTAGCCCAATAGAGTTTTTGGTTTGTTAGAATTCGAATTTTTCGTTACTGTTGACATGTTTTGGCACTATGTAAATGAACAAGTGAGAGTAAGAATAGAATGAATCTTATCTATTTTTATGGATGGGATGACTAAGGTGATAAGATTACGATATCATATCAAAGCGTCAATCGTATAGTTGGGAAATCTATATTTTTTTTTATTTTATAACATCTTCCTTGCTACGATAATACTTTTACTTTTGTATATTTTGATGACATGTATTCATTCTTTTTGGGCTGATATTGTGACGAGCAAATGCAAGACCATGACTCTCTTGGTTTGGTCACAACCTAAAGTATGTACTAGGATGTATTTCAGGAAAATATTTTAACTTCTATAGGGTGGCTCAAAAAAGTGTGAGTGGATTAGGATGATATATTTTTTTAAATGTAACATTCTGTATATTATTACATTATCGACTTCCTTTCAGGATCACTTTACATAATCCTAAGATATTATTAAATATATTTCGATAGTCTTAGATATATATATATATATATAGATATATATATATATATATATATATATATATATATATATATATATATATATATATATATATATATATATATATATATATATATATATATATATATATATATATATATTATATATATATATATATATATAACCATATATATAATTTATTCATCTTTTTTTTTAATGTGTATATTATTTTTTTCAGTAGATGGTGAATTAAAAAATGATTTTTTTTATTTAGAGTATTTCAAAATTTTTAACGGTTTCCTAGATATTCGCGGTTTTTATTTCATATGGCTATTATTCCACAAAGCCACCCAATGATATTTCTCTTGTATTTTACCGTTGAAAGTAGTGATGGGAATACCGGTTCCACATGAGTCGCGTTACAATAGCGACCGTTCCAGAAAAATACCGCGATTTTGTAACCGAGGTTCCGACTTCCAAAGTGTCTCTAATTAGGTTTTTAATTAGGATTTTTATTTTTAATCAATTGAGAGTGGCTTTACAAGTTTCCGATTTTTTTCAATCATATTTTCTTCTTTATTTATTCTTATTTTTGTAAAAAGGTTTATTCAATCAATCATATACTAAAATACACTACTTAATTTATTTGAATTTAATAGAACGCCCATGGAGAGCGGTGTTTACTTTATAGAAAATGGCCCTATGTTTTTTAAAATTTTCGATGCTGAGAAATACAAAAATAAAATAATACTATAGTTAGTTGCTTGCGGAATTGATTACCTGTCGCTATATTGATTTTGTTCATTATATTGCGGGAAGTAGCATTATATTTTAATTTTTAAAGAAATATCAAGGAACGGCGTATTGTCTTTAACGGCTCATATTTATGTGTATCGCAACATAATATGTTTAATGTTAAAATCAAGAACAAAGTCCAAACCACTGTCAAGAAAATTCTTTATTGGTGACCGGTTTCGGCAATTCCAGCCATAATTCTTTCTTTCTTTCTTCTTCTTTCTCAGCCTGGTTCCATCCAGTGTTGGATATAGGCCTCTTCTAGGTTTTTCCATGCTTCGCGATCTCTAGCCAATCTTATCCATTGTCTTCCCGCCACTGCCCTGACGTCATCGACCCACCTCTTTTTTGGTCGGCCCACACTTCTTGTTGTTCCCCTAGGTCTCCATAGGATTACTTTTTGGGGCCATCGGTCTTGATCCTGTCTTGCCACATGTCCTATCCATTGCCACTTCAGACTTGCCACTCTTTTAACGACATCTATTAATTTTGTTTTTTGACGTATGTGGGTATTCCGTATTTTTCCCTAATGGTGACTCCCAACATGATTCTTTCCATGGCTCTTTGTGCTACTCGTAGTTGTTCTGCTGTTTTTCGAGTAATTGCCATAGTCTCTAAGCCATAGGTAAGCACAGGTAGAATGCAGCTGTCGTAAGCCTTTTTCTTTAGGTTCATGGGCACCTTTTTATCCTTGAAAATATCGCTCATATTTCCAAATGCTACCCATGCCAAATGGATCCTGCGTTTGATCTCCGTATTTTGGTTTTCCTTGCCCAGCTTGATTTTATGACCTAAATATATATAATGGTCTACGTTTTCAATAATAACGTTGTCCACGGTAATGTTATGGATATTGTTGCTCATTATCTTGGTCTTCTTCAAGTTCATTTTAAGGCCAATTTTCTGGGATTGATCATTTAGCTCATTTAGCATGGTGTTTCGTTCTTGAATGTCGGTGCTCAGCAAGACAATATCGTCTGCGAACCTCAGATGGCTAAGGTGTACCCCATCGATGTTTAGACCTCTATTTTCCCATTCTAATTTCTTGAAGACATTTTCCAGTGCCAGTGGAAATAACTTGGGAGAGATGGTATCTCCTTGTCTCACGCCCTTGTATCATTACCAGCCATCATTAGACCTTAAAAATAGATATAAACAATAAAACTAATATAAATGTATAAAAGCAAATAACATTTCCATTTTATTTTATTTGCTTTTACGTTTCATCTTTCTAACAACGCTATTTTATACCATGCCTAGTACGTACCAAAAATCGCTATTTCGAAAGTAACGTAGCGACGGGAGCACCAACGCCAATATTAACCGACCAAATCGCGACAGGCGAAAACGGAACCCTAGAAGCGCTCCAGCGATTGCTGGAACGAAGTACGTCGCCGCCGAGGTAGAGCGTGGATAATCAGTTACAGCAGTTACTTCTGTTCGCGACAGGGAACTAAAACTCTAGGAGCGCGACGGCTGGAGCGAACACGTCCCGATCGAGATCGCGCGGCGCTACGGACATACCAGTTCCAGATACTACTGTTGGCGACCGACGAAATCACGACGGCTGCGGGTGGAGCTAAACATGTCGCTATGCGATTACTACGGTTCGAGCTAACTTCAAGAGCGATTATAAATAATTTATTTGCAAATTGTAAACAATTTATAATTTTGTCGTCATTATATTTATGATTGTCGTTCTTCAGTAACAGTTTCCTGATTCGTTGTGGAGCGCGACACGACGTTACAAAAAAATACCGCTCCAAAATCGCGTTACTCAAATACCGACACATCACTAGTTGAAAGTGCCATATGAAATAATACTGCGTGTATCTGCAAAACCATTAAAAATTATGAAATACTTTAAATACAAAAAATTGTAATTTTTTAACTGTCCATCTAATAAAAAAATAACATACAGGATGTTTTATTTAAAAAAACAAAAAAATGATTTTATATTTCAGAAAGTTTGGCGTAGAATTTTGAACACCCTGTATGATTTAAGATTACGATATTTATAGCAAAGTAAGTATAGACCATCTAAAGTAAGTATCTAATATAATTTTTTTAAAGAAGGTTGAAAAATATGTATTTTTATTTATTTATTAATATCTCTGAAATTATCGAAATATATTTCGTGATATCTTAGGATTATGTAAAGTGATCTGAAAGGAAGCCAAAAATGCAATAATATACAGGGTGTTCCATTTAAAAAAATTATCCCGATCCACTCACACTTTTTTGAGCCACCCTATAGATCCTATTATCCTATAGATGCTACAGATGCCCGACGCATTTTTACCGGGCCATGTATATGTTTTTTTTTCATTTTTAAGCAACAGTTTCTTGATATCATTATTGTTGATAAGTAAATTTGTTTTTTTTACGAGTTTCAAAACGGTACCAAAAACAATGAAAGTACCTACATATTTAAAAATATTAATAAAAATAACGATAAATAATTATAAATTATAACATTTTTATTTCAGCACAAATTTTGCAATCGTTATTACTCTAAAAAATTGTATATTATAATAACAAAGTTAAATTATCTAAGTATTTATAATTTTAGCAGATTAGGTTTAATGTTTAATTGTTGCAGTAATTTAAAATATTATTGCGATTCGTTCTCTAAAGATTATAAATTTGTATATTTTACTTATTATCCTCGTTATTATCTTAGTGTTGTATAAATACAGAATACACTGTATATGAGAAACATACACATATATGAGAAAAATATAAGAACCATTAGCAAAGAGTCAATATTTGCCATTAGTTTGAATTGTTGTAATTGTGCCGTCTTTTTGAATATGGGATTACCCGGTTTACTGATTAATTTTCCACCACAGATAAACACCTATCAATCCATGATTTTGTATCTATGGCAAAATATTACTGTCGAAAATACTTCTGTGGGTATCTAAAATTTTTGTACCTATCTTCATCTGTATATTTGTCTAAAATTTGGTTGTCAGCAGGTTGTCAGGTTTGACGTTTTAAAATCCAATTAGAGCAAAAATATTACATTTCTGTATAATTATTTGATGATATTAACAATTAAACCATTGACCATAAAACAATATATAAGTAAAGACAAATGTGTTGATTTAAATATAGAATGTCTTCGGTCTTAGATCAATTAAAACCTGTTATAAGTAAGACCGGACAGGTTATAGTGCAAGATGTACCTGATTTAGTTCTCTGTAAGCCCCGTTTAATTCCGTTAAAAAGTTTTACTCTAGAAAAATTGGAAAAAATGCAACAGGAAGCTCAAAATATTAAGAAGCAGTCCACACAAGAAACCGCATCAGAGTAGAGTGTATAATATTGTCCCTGGAATTAAATTTAGTTACGACTTAATACAATCATGAGTTATACACCTTTAATCTCAAAAATTTTACTCTCCTTTATTATATCATCAACTGTGCTGTATCGATATGGAAATTGGTTTAGGCATCGAATTTTTGTCACAATAACTGTATTATTAGCTTGGTTCTGTAGTTTTTTAATTATTTTTGCTCTCCCACTGGACATAATTTCGGTAAGTAAAGACCAAAACCGCAGTAATTTAAAATAATTTAATTATTCTATATTAGACTGTATATAGTCAACAAAATCATACGGAGATTAATACTATTGATAACTCAACTATTGAAATTATTGAGGAGCCATGGGGAAACTTACCAGAAAGAGTATTTATAAATTTATGGAGAACTGTGTATTGGAGTACCCAGTTTTTAACTTGGTTTGTTTGGGTATAATTACTCTTATTTAAATAATAATTTTATTATTAACAGGTTAGTAATGCCAATGATGCAGTCATACATAAAAGCTGGTGATTTTACTGTAAAAGGGAAACTTAAATCAGCTTTAGTTGATAATGCAATTTATTACGGGTCATATTTGCTCATTTGTGGTATTTTGCTTATTTATTTAGCATTAAAACCAGGCATCGATTTAGATTGGTAAGAACTAGTTTTTTATTCTCATACACAATAATAAATTTTCTTTATTTTAAGGAATAAGTTAAAAGCTATAGCTTCATCAGCTAGCAATACATGGGGTCTGTTTCTTCTTGTGCTTTTACTAGGATATTCTTTAGTCGAGGCTCCTAGAAATTTTTGGAATAATTCAAATGCAAGTTTGAAGCTCACTCAATATTATTTTAGAGCTGCAAAATTAAGTTCAGACAAATGTGAAGCTGAAGAAACAGTTGATGATGTTTTGGAGGTATTTATATTGTTAGATATATTTTGTATGAATAAATTTTAAATATTTTTCAGTCTTTGCAAGCAATTTCAATGGCTATCAGGCCAGGGCATTATCTTTATGAACCTTTGGAAACAATTATGCAGAAAGTACCAATTGAGTTAAAAGACAGGATGAACAGAAGACAGATACCTGAAGATGCACCGCATGATTCTCCAACTGAGAAATCTCTTATTCGATTACATAGACAAGTAAATATTAAACAGCATAATTTTAATTATTTTTACATTATAAATAATTATTTTTTAGACTATTAAATCCCTGCAAGTATTACAGAGAACAGAAACTCAGTGGAACATATTAGTGGATAAAATTTTTGAATGTGAAGATAATCTCAAAAATCAAATATCGAGAGATAAGAGGTTTAAAAGAACATTCACTAAAGAATCTAACCAGTTGTTTGGCTATATTTGCACTCCAGTAGTTGGTAAATTATCTGGTTTGTTGTTCGTTATCATTTTCTTATTATATCTTTTTTAGAATGGTATTGGAAATGTTTTGTAACACCGTATTGTTGGAAAGCATTGGCCATTATTACAGGAATTATGTCGGTTGCTATAGTATGGTCAGAAGTAACATTCTTTAGTGTATCACCTCCATTGTCAATATTTGCAGTTTTTGTGAATGCAGCCAAGGCAAATTATGATTATTTTATGATTGAGGTGAGTACATTATGCAAACAGAATAGTAAAGAATTTTGATTTTCATCTGATAAAAGTAAAAGTAATAAATTACTTCTTGGTTGTGGAATGGGGACGTATTAGTCTCACACTTGACTTTGTAAATTTTTTTAGTCTTACACTTGATTTTGCACTATGTAAAATTGACATTTTTATGTAGGTAGTATTTATTTAACTATTATAAATTATTATTCTGTAAAAATATTTAAGTGGAACTAAATATTTTCAGCTAATATATAAGAATTAATTGAACTGGACAAAAACAAGAATTTTCTGATGAAAATTTTTAGACATATTGTGGATATACAGAGGTATATAGAACTCTTTAACACTTTTTTAATAAGTTTTCTGTTCAAAAAGTCCTCAAGTAAATTTTAAAGAATCCCCCAATGATGGACATAATGTGGTTTTTGACCACATCCGGAGTAATTTTTAAATTGGGGTTGTTTTTTTTTATAAAGTTTTAGGTTTATAAATATTATATTGTTTCTTATAAATTTTTTTTTAAGTTTTTTGTTACCATACTTCTCCGAAACGGCTTGACCGATTTTGATTAAATTTTATATGTACCTATATTTAGTAGGTCTGAGAGTCTTATTATCTATTTTTTTATACCCCAAAGTGAAAAGGGTAGCCCACACTTATCCATGTATGGCATTAAAATATACATACAATCCTAAATTTTCACCCCTCTACCATCAACCTCTATTTTTTAATAGAGGTTGCTTTTTTTTTCATTTTTTACCATACTCCTCCGAAAAGGTTTAACCGGTTTTGATGAAATTTTATATGTATATTCAGTAGGTTTGAGAATAAGTTGTTATCTATTTTTATACCCCCAAGTGATAAGGGTAGCCTACACCAATTTTTTTTTATTTTTTGGACAAATTTTGTTATTTTTATTTTGTTATGTTGTGGCATTAAAAATACATACAACCCTAAATTTTCACCTTTCTTCCATCAACCCCTATTTTTTTACAGCGATATTAGTAATTCAATAATTTTAATTTATCAACTTATTATTAATAAAAATTGTTAGAGTACCTTAAATTAAAAACGTGAGCGTGATTGGGTATATACCGGGTACAAAGGTATTTACTTAAATTCAATATACCAACAGCAACGCGTGGCCGGGTCTGCTAGCATTTGTATAAACATTTATGTGTATTTTTGGGTCGTGAATACGCATCTTAAGTACTGACATCCTCTCATGAATCACCCTTGACATCTCCTTATGAATCACCCTGTATATTACATTTAGTAAAGCGGAAAGACTTCTGTCTGCTTTATCTGCATATTAACGAAGTATATGACGACAAATTTGGTATTAGTGCGTGTAGTAATATCCGCTGCGTTAAATTAAAAAAAAAACATTAATGAATTCTCAAAATAGAAACAGGTATCTCCAATTATGTAATTATGTATTTGAAACACATAACTAATCTTTTGTGTTCTATGAATACTAATATACTACACACATGAGATGTTGCCTATTTTTCCTGTAGAGCATGCATGGCACTATTATAAGGAGATGAGTAATAAATAGTAAATTATAATATTGTGCGTTAATCCACTTAATTACAGGTTTATTATAAATGTAAATATAACATCAAAATTATATTTACATTGATATTTACAGAATATAAATTCATAATTTAAAAAATTATTTTGATAGATGACATTATCCCTATTAAATTAGTTAAAAAAAGGTCCATCGGTGGAAAAAATTCCCACAGTTTTGAAAATGGTTTTAAATGATTTCTCTAGACTTGGGCTGATATGTTTCAAAAGTCCCCGAAGATAGACGATGAGCTCGAGGAGTGGGGAGGAGTTAAATGTCTAATTAAGACTAAAAAAAATTATATAGTTTAAAAGATGAATGCGTCTTTGTTTGATATGTTTTATAAAGCATTACTTATTTTTTGTTTGTCAATTTCTAATGAAAAGTTAATTATTTATTCAGTACAAGGTCCCGTTTATCCGCGAAGAAACTGTTCCAGAAATAAGTAAATATTTTAGAAATTTTCTTTTGTTTAACAAAGATCTTTATTATTGTTGTTATATAGTAATATTTTTATACATAATATAAGATTGTAATTAGTCACGACAGTTTTAAAATATTCTCATTTTCCACCGTTGCTTCAATCAAAATAATAACCATTAATTCACATAAATGTCTTATAAAAGTCGTCTTCGGCTCGTATTCATTGAATGCTTGATGGATTATATTACTACTGGAGCAATTTACAGACATTACTATGGAAATGTGCATATCATAATATTTCAATTAGTTATTTTCAAGTTATTGGAGTATAGAAGTAGTCATTTTCAAAATTTGAAGAGCCATATAAGCGGATATAATATTATATTATTTTATTACAATCAAAGTAACTACGCCACTGGCACACATTCTCATGATCTCTGAACAGCGTTGCCATTCTCTCGGGAATCCTTCATGACTGCGATCAGCCCGTCTTGTTCCCACTAGCATAGAACAGGAAACGAATGTCTGATTCTGATCTTTTCCTTTTTATGAATGAAATGCCGGGTCTACTTTATTTAGGGGTCATTGGCTACATACGTCTTATTACGTCTTTCGCTGAATAAACCATATATATATTCTTAATTACTTTATTGTTTTCCAAAAATGTCATATGCCTTTTCCATACAGATAGGTATAAGGAAACGTATAATTAAGATATGACCATTTGCGACAGTATGTGAGGCGTCAAGTTGCAAAAAAATTGTTTTAGCAAATGTTTGAAGCGTTATTTTACAAAAAACGTGTCCATTAAGTGGAATCATTGTTTTGTATCTCGTTTTTCTAGAAATAATAATTAATATTTAATTTTTAAAGGGAGGAAACTCAAAAATAATTTGGATAAGGCGGGTTTTGTTGCAGTATGATGCATATTGCGGGTTTTGCTACAGCAAGATATTTGCATCCTAACTTGATTTATTAGATATGCTATTTTATTAAAATTAGGTAAGCATCTGAAATGGATAAGACGTCAGTAGTAATATTATACTTGTGTAAAAAGCCTACGAAAAAATGCGGGATTTGCAACAATAATGAAATAAAAAGCAAATATAAGTGGATAAGACGGATTTTGCTGTAGTAACGTAATTTGTTGTGAATTTTTTATAGCCGACTTTTGCTGCAATTTGGGACTATGTTTATGTAGATTTCAGGGTCCACTATTAACATGTCATTAGGATAAGGTGGGTTTTGCAACTTGACCCCTTATTTTTAGACACATGAAATAAAATTTACTTTATAAAGTTGTATATTTTCTTTTAAAACTCTCCTACTCTTCTCTATTCTTATTCTTAAAGGCAGGCGGCCACTGCGAGCGTAACTAAACTAAGCTAAGAATATGAAAACAAACGGTAACTAAATGGGAACTCCACAGGGAACGATTTTCGCTCAGTAGCCAGCTAAGTTTTCGTATTGTATCTCTGCTATCATAGAACTAGTCGCTGCGAAAAATTCGCTGGAACCTGTCACGTACTAAAACGAGCGAAACTAAACTACGATTCGAATCTTCGTTCATCTATTTTCGTTTTGTTTCGCTCAAGTAGCCGCTGACGCATTAAAAAGTATGGAAGCTGATTTTTACAAATTTTATCTTTCCTTAGTTTAGTTTCGCTATCAGTGGCCGCCTGCCTAAGGGATAGAAACTAATTTCAGAATTACACTGTAAATAATTCACTTTTTTCCAGGTGATCTCAACCTTTATAATACTCTACCTTTCGTTCTGCGCTTATTCTACAGTTTTGAAAATAAAACTCTTAAATCTCTATTATCTTGCACCGCATCATCAGACTAACGAACATAGTTTGATATTTTCTGGTATGATGTTTAGTCGTCTCACACCTGCATTGTGTCTTAACTTTTTGGGACTGATACACATGGATAGTCACGTTATACATAGTCAAATTCAAGAAACTTCTTATACAAAGGTAGGCTATTATTTTTCTTCTTTTTTTAATTTGTGATACTAACATAACATTTAATTTTTTCTCCAACTAGATTATAAGCGTATACTAGATTTTATGCTTCTATATAGCTTAATCTGACAAAAAATAGGACTATTTCTCTGGAAATTATTTAAAGAATTGCTCTCAAAATTTTTGTTCTTTAACATTTGGTCAACCTTTTATGTACTGAAATACCTCTTGAATTATTATCAATTGTGCTTTAGTACACGATTTGAAAATATACATTTCAATTTCATTTTTAGATTATGGGTCACATGGATGTAATTGGAATAATATCACACGGTTTTAATATTTATTTTCCCATGGCAATATTAATATTCTGTTTGGCAACGTATTTCAGTTTGGGATCTCGATTTTTATCTATGTTGGGTTTCCATCAATTTGTTGGCGACGAAGAAATGACCACAGATCTAGTAGAGGAAGGCAGAGAACTGATTAAAAGAGGTATTTGTGATAACAGCTCTTAAAAAGTAGTGTCTTTTAATTAAAAATATGGGTATTTATAGAAAAAAGAAAAAGACAAAGAGCTGAGGAGTCATCTAACAGGAGAAAAGAACTTCAGGATAGATTGCCCAGTACTGGAAGATTTAGGCAGAACAATACTAACGAGGCGGGTAAGAAAAATTAATGTCATATGAAAGAAGAACATTTTAAATTTGTTTATATTAATTTCTTTGGCGGTTTCAGATCGTCCTTCAGAACAATTGGAAAGTAGTAGAATAAGAGATTCATATAATTTAGAAACGTATAATAGAACTACATATACAGGTGATGATATAGATACAAGGTTTCCTCCTGTAGAGGTAAGTACTATCACAGATTATACAGATTATAAACTTAAGTTATCACGCTGTTTAACCGCGAGTTTATTTTTGCGCACAGGAAATTTTACTCGTTTGCTCATCGTCATAAAAAACACAATTTTCGTACCACGAATTAGGAACAAGATTTTTATCTGTATACATATAGGATACCTAATATGTGGTACTATCTGGTATATTGGATATTGCATTGGATAGCATATTTAGTGGCGATATACCAATCTGGTCATCGAAACTGCGTGGTCTGCATTGATGTCGACAGCTTAATGGAAAATCAAATGTATTAAAAATAGATAAAACTTGGGTTTATACATTTCTTATATGCAGTATTGCCGGATCTTGTATCAAAATTTCAAACTGCACAAGCAGACGAAAAATGTTGCATCTACGGTTGGAACTTTATTTTTCACAATTAGTTACTCATTTTACTACTAATGCTGTAATAGATTATATTTGGCTAAGATATATTATTTTCATTTCAGTAGTATACATGGAAGTTTTTAAAATAGTTTATTTTTTTCTAATTTATTTAAGACCCAGATAATAATATACTTACACCGAGTCGGCAAGATAAGGGTCTTGGATCGGCCTTTACCTACATGTCTAGAAATGCGAAGTTTTTTTATCTATCCACACATATCCCTGCCTACACACGTAAAAACTGGCAACACTTTATGCTGCTTTGTATTTTAGCCCCCGGTCTGTCAACCGGTCATTTATATTTATCTCGGTCGTAAAATACAGACTACAGAGATGTGTCCAGGACCGTATACCGGTTTGGTCATCGAAACTGTGCGGTCTGGATTTTAACGTGTAAGACTGTGATGTAGACAGCTTAATGGAAAATCAAATGTATTAGTATTAGTATAAGTAAAAGAGGTACTCGGTCAATATAAGGTAATAACTATAAGGTACAGGTGCCCGGTAGCGTAGAGGTACTGCTCTCGTCTACCAATTCAAAGGTTGTGGGTTCGAATCCCACAGCCGGCATCTCATCAGCCTAGGTAGGTCGATTCAGCCTTAAATGAGTACTTAGGATTCACAATCCTGAAGTAATAATAGGCGGTTGAAGCGTAGTGCTAGCCACATTACCTTCCTTGTATACCGAACGGCTTTAGTATGGCCACAGATTATACAGATTATAATCTTTGTTTTTTCTTTATTGTTTTTCGTGGTTCCAATTTTCGGAATCGGGCACTAGTTAGGTGACTAGTTTGCGCACATAGCACGCCCACTTATGGCCTCTAAAATTGTGCACAGCGCCTGACCGGTACAGTTATTAGAGAGATATCGGAAAACCGAATAGCGTCATCCAGTATTTACGCGTACCTTATCATGGTTACGAAATGCGCGAGTCAATTTTTAACGCAACACCCGGTAATAACGTTACCGCCTGACGTAATTTGCGGATCAATTACACCAAGCGCTCTTTCTAAATAACCTCTGATAACGTTTAAAAATTGCTTCAATGGACATGTGCGGGTATTTGACAACCGGAGCCGGCCAGCGAGATCTTTTATTTTAGGTTATGTTTGAATTGTTTTGAATTATTGCTTTAGTTTTATTAGGTAATTTGATATTTAAGTAGCTGGGATTAGTTTTAATTAAATAAATATGACCCAAAATATGGATTCCACCTCTTCCAATACTAAAGAACCTATAAAGAGTCTTAGGTTTACAGCAGATGACAACTTAGCCCTTCTAAGAGAATTTGTTGCTTGTTGCCCTAAACCCATTGGCAGACGTTGAACAATAAAGCACTGGAAATAAGCACTTTAGCCCTTTAGTTTTAAAATACCTAGTAAAGAAAACAATTTCAAAGTGAGGTTAAGTTTAAATAGCGGACGAGACGCGATCAGAATTCTTTCCGATCCGATAACTGTAAATGAAGAGAATTAATACCACCTCACGTAAAGGAAATAACACCTGGCCTTATTAACGTCCATTCACGCTATTCGGTTTAGCGATATCTCTCTATTACGCTGTTTATTGTTATTTTACGCGAGTTTATTTTTGCGCACAGGAAATTTGACTCGTTTGCACATCGTCATAAAAAACAATTTTCGTACCACGAATTAGGGACAAGATTTTTATCTGTATAGGATACCTAATCTGTGGTATGGCAAGCTGTACCTTGCTACTCCCAAGGCGTTAAACGCTATATACGGGAGCTATTATTATTATAAGTAAAAGATAAAAATTGGGTCGACAGATTTCTTCTATGCGGTATTGCCGGATTTTGCATCAAAATTTCAAACCGCACAAGTGGGCGTTTACGAAAAATATTGCATGTAGGTTTGGAACCTTATTTTTGACTATTAGTTACTCATTTTACTACAGCTGCAATAGATTATATTTAGTTTAGATAATATGTTATCATTTTAGTAGTATACATGAAAATTTTTAAAATAGCTTATATTTTTCTACACACATTTTCCTACAAACGTAAAAAACCGGCAACACTCTCTCGGTCTCTCTGTCTGTCAACTGTGAGTGGCCGGCCGTAGCTCCAGCGCAGCGTTAGTGTGTCGATCTGCGGAGCGGTTGTGAAACACTGATGACACACATCACAACTACATGCGAGAGGTAGCCGACGCTCTATATAGAGTATGGCACTGTAAGAAGAAGTCTGTCAACCGGTCATTTATATTATTCTCTTTCACACGCATTAAAATCCAGACGGTCCAGTGTAGTCTGGATTTTAACGTGTAAGACAGTGATCTAGACAGCTTAATGGAAAATCAAATGTATTAAAAAGAGATAAAAAATAGGGTCGAAACATTTCTTCTATGTGGTATTGCCGGATTTTGCATCATAATTTCAAATCGCACAAGTAGGCGTTTATGAAAAATGCATCTAGGGTTGGAACTTTATTTTTCACTATTGGTTACTCTTACTACAGCTGTAATAGATTATATTTAGTTTAGATATATTATCATCATTTCAGTAGTATACATGAAAGTTTTTATAATAAATTATATTGTTCTACACACATTTTCCTACGAACGTAAAAAACCGGCAACACTGTATGTCGCTTTTGATTTTGTCTCTCTGTCTGTCAACAGGTCATTTATATTATTCTCTGTCACACTCATTAAAATCCAGACCACATAAATTCGATGACCAGCAGGGTACACATATAATCAAAACTAAGTGATTTTTATGAATGATTTAGATTAATTTCTCGACATTTAAAACTTGTAAAATTGCGAACTATCAATGCTTCTCAAATGGAAGTATTGTATGATAGTGTCTATCTGAAATGAATCATACTGAAATAACTGAATTACTTACCACTTCAACTATTAAATCCTAAATTTTAAAGGCACCTACTATCGTGATAATTAAACTTAGGCCCGGTTGTTGATATTCGGTTCAGGGTGAGTTCAGACTTGAACAAAGTTCATTATTAGGTTGTGCAATGACTTTTAACTTGGTTCAAAAATTATGTATTTGACGATTGAAATTGGGCCAGCCATTTTCGAGCCATAAACTGATCTTTTATTCACTAAATATTCACCTTATAATCTAATAATACAAAAAAATAACCTAAATATAATTGCCGAGTTCAGCGTTTTTCACAGTTTACATGAGTTTAAGCTATGTTTGTACAATCGGGCCTTAATGTCATGGTTTAGTTGAACTTTTTTTTTATTTAGGACGATCTAGACGCCAGGTTTGGAGCCAGTACCGGTTTCGGTAGAAATTCTCAGAATTTGGATACCAGGTTCGCTGACGGTTACCAGTCGGAAGGCAGAAGGGTGGGCATACCGCCCAGGGGTATTTTCGACGATGTCTGAATTTTAAATCGATGTTAAGATTAATAAAAAAACACCTCAAATAGTTATAAGAAATTATGTTAATATTGCACTTTTATTACAAAACTATTTTTATGAGATTAAGATAAGATGTTTTCTAGTCTATGACATGTAGCTATTTTGATTTTTTATTTTCATCATATTTTTTAATAAAAATTTACTCAAAAGTACGTGAGATTGAGGGTCATTGTTATTTACTTGGATCAGTACAGTTTTAAATAGGTGGGGTCAGTATTTTAATATACTTTTCTTTTTTTAAAGTCTCTAGTGTTTTTATAGTTTGCAGTGATTTAAATATTTATTAATAGGTTACATAACTGTTGTTACTTAATAAATAAACATTCCATAATGTTAATGTTTGAGTAAATACTCAATATGTGTATTTCACTGTAGCTGCTTGTTGTTATATGATATTTAATAAAATATAGTTTTAAGATTATCCTGACGTTTAATTTATTCGCTTAACTTTTACCAAAATTAAGGTATATATTGAGGTTTTTGGTTTTCTTCTTAAGGGTCCATTTCACTAGTCCGAAAAAGTAGCAAAATAAGCGTTCGGCATTTAACGTTTTATGTAAAATTGGCTAGGTATTTTTACACAAATGAAGAAGGAAATTAAAGATAAAGGATTATACTATATCCGTATTGTAGTACATTTTTAGACAACTTCTTTATTTTTAAGATTTTGATGGTCAAACATCAATAAAATATTCCTTATGTTTGGACTAAATTTTCTGGAAAATAAAGACATAATTTAAAATTCCGTTACAATACGGAAATAGGTTGACGTTTTGTGATTACAGTGATATATAATTTATATGGTTTTGTAACAAATTGCTCGCTATTTTATGGCAAATGCTGAAGCTCTGCAAACCTTAATCAAAGCACGTGTGTTTGGAATTTTGGGTGTGGCTTAACACGATAGGACCGGGCTAAGGCTTAGGCAGATTTCTGAAATATAATATATATTTCCTTCGGCCACACACCCGCTTTACCCGAACAGTCCTCAGAATTTTTCTATTTAAAATTTTAGACACATTATGCTATTTTTTAAAAGGTCGAAAATAAATCTCATATATAAACATTAATATTTTTATTTTAATGAAAGGTCAGCTTTGCCTAAAAAGATCTTAACGGTTTATTATTATTCATGAAAAATATGAACAAATATCTAATTTATGACTATTACTAAAATCATATTCTTAAATATTAATAGTTATAACAGTTACTTAAATATTAAGCAACACACGGAGTGCCGGCAATAGCGTCATCTACTTTTACTTTCAGTATTCTATAGTTGACCTCTTGAGGGTTCAGTTTTCTATAGATGAAAGCGGGCATTTTGTCTGAGAGGATCCATAAATTTCTTTCATCGTCAATCTGCAAATACATAAATTTAAAGAAATTAAAATATCGTGACATCACTCTAACTTCTTGGGAGATACATAGTAATTTTGATTCTTCAATACTTATACACTTTTTATCACCACAGTCAAACTTTGGTTGGTTTTAGTTAAGGCGGGTTGATATGGTCCAAGTGTACTTGGACCGAGTTGGATCCAGTACACTTGGATGCTGCCATATACATATACAGAGTGAGTTTCCTACGATGTTCTCTATGGGTATCTCGCAGGAAACAACTGGAGGTAGAGAGTCGGTTAAATGGGAAAGAATTGCAGTTTTATGGGGTCACAAATATGCGCCTTTCGGATTTTTGAAAAAGTTCATGGCTTACTAGATATTTAAAAAAAACAAATTTTGGCTCTTGTAAAAAATTGTTCCTAATTCAATTATAAACTATTTTAGACAAAAAGTTTTCAGATAAAAGTTGTAGATAATCACATCCCTAATGAGTTTGTGTTCTCCGATTTTTTCTAAAACCTGTCATTTTTGACATATGACACAAACATATGTTTTTTTTAAATGGAAACCATAGTTGGCCATGACTTCATAAAAAGCGTCATCTTTTAAGCTTTTCAGCGATATAAGCTATAACTGGCTATAATATGTTTTTTTTCGAAAAATTACTGAGTTATAGCCAATTAATTACTAAGTTATTTTAGAAAATGTTCAAAAAATCCGGCATTGTTTTGAATACATAAATGCATCCTTTTAAAACTGATGAATTACTAGCTATTCTCACAGAAAGACCGGTCGACTTAATTAAACTTCTCCCGTGCCGCCTCTTCGAGTGCCTCTCTTAATTCATACGTTCTTTTGCAAACCTTGTTAACTATACTGCATAAAAAAGTCTAAAATGGATAGGTCAGGTGATCGAGGAGGCCCACGCAATTGGTCCACCTGTTCCTATCCCTGAGTTTGCATAATTATGATATAAATAATTTTTAACATTTCTTTAATTATGGAGGGAGGAGGGGGTCATAATGAAAGTCATGTTGGAACCACTCTATTGATGCGCAAGTATCTAAATTTAGCTTTTCTAACATGTCTTGAAAACCGTTCTCTAAAAAACATATAAGTAACGTTCACCGGCCAACGTATCCTCGAAAATGTATGGCCAAGAAAAGTTGAACCAATAATCCTACACGCTTTTCTTCATTTGATTAATTCATATTTACAATTTTTGTTTATTCTAATTTACAGTTTGGATGTGACAGTTTCACATTTCTGAGAGCAACGACGATTGAACTTGTTTCCATGGCTAATTCAGTGAAATTGTTTAAAAATTATAAGGATTGGCTATAACTCAGTAATTTTTCGGAAAAACACATATTATAGCTTATATCGATGAAAAGCTTAAAAATGGCGCTTTTTATGAAGTCATGGCCAACTATGGTTTCGATTTAAAAAAAACCTTGTTTCTGTCATATGTTAAAAATTGCAGGCTTTAGAAAAAAAAACGGAGGACACAATCTCATTAAGGATGTGATTATCTACAAGTTTTATCTGAAAACTTTGTGTCTAAAATAGATTATAATGGAATTGGGACAATTTTTAAAAAATTTTGCCCAAATTTGTTTTTTTTTTAAATATCTAGTAAGTCATGAACCTTTTCAAAAATATGAAAGGCGCATATTTATGACCCCACAAAACTGCAATTCTTTCCCCATTTAACCGACTCTCTATCTCCAGTAGTTTCCCAGATACCCATAGAGAACATCGTAGAACACAACCTGTTTAACTGTAGTTATAATAATGCTGCGCTCGTCTCTCTTGTACGCTGCTTGTATCGTTTTAACTGTTTTATCCAAGTCAAGTTGGAAAGAAGAAGGCTGACACACAAGGTAAGTAGGCTGACAGACAACTTTCTTGGATGTTACAAAGCCTTCCAACTCGACTTGGATAAAACAGTTGATACGATAGAAGCAAACATGCATACAGAATTTCAGAGCATCCAAGTGTAGTTGGGTAGTAGGAATATGGACTACACTACGCCTTGGACCGTATCACCCTGGCTTTATTATTAGTTATCTACCTTAATATCATTGGTAAAGATTAGCTTCTCAGGATCATGGGCGATCAAAGCAAAGTTGTCAGAGTTCAGTGGCTTCTTAGGATTCCAGCAAGCAACGCCATCTCTATTCAACTGGGTAAGGATCAAGGAGTTTGACTTTTCATCGAAAACTGAAGCTGAAGTTTGAGTCTTGTCTCCTTTTTTACCTTCCAACTGAAAAATAAATGTTTAATGTGAAATACATGATACTATTGCCTTTTTGGTATTTTTTACTTTGAAAAGATTGTAGATATGAGGGTCATCAGCTAAAGTTTTGTTTTTCAAGACAGATGTACTAACTGAGAATTCGTTCAAGCTGGCCAATGGATGGAAGTATACAGTACGGAAACTAGAAACAAACATAATGTATTAACTTCTACAGTAGTGTGAATAAATTATTTCTTTCATTAGATCGTTCAGTCTGTTTTAATGGTTTGTTAACTTACCCTGTAGAGTCTTGTGGTCCCAGGGCTAATCCAAATACACCGTCTGTCCATTGGAAGTTGACTCCGCCGACATTGAAGTCGCCGTTCAAAGGATCGAAATGGAAGTAGTTGTGTTTAAATCTCCAGGAGTCGTTGTTTTTGAGGGAGTAAACGACAACACCGTAGCCTCCCAGGTCGGGCAAGTATGCGTAGGCATCATCGCAATTATCTTTGGTGACATCCACAATCTAGAAAATAAATAAAAAAATAATGTCGTCACGATGACCGATTCTGAGTGCGGCATAGAAATAATCATCCTTCAGAGTTCTATGGTGTATTCAAAAAATTAAAAGCTATTGAGAAGGACCTCCAAAGCATATTTTAAATAATAATACTAAATTAAAATCGCTTACTCGTCACTTTAGTGAAAATGTTTATAAAAGTGAACACTGGTTAGGTATATGGTTGTAAGGCACTCAATAAACTTTTTTGTTGGCCCTCTCTACTATTTTACCTAACAGATACGTTCACAGTTTTTTTTTACCTAAATTTAGTATTTTTTTTAAATTGGTTTGATTATTTTTATAACCTGTTACATTTTTTGTATATTTTATTTTTGTAACTTCAAAATAAAAGACTTTAATAAAAAAATGATTTTTTTGCTATAAATACCCTATATTAATAATTGAAGATGGTTTTTAAATAGTCAGGCTCTTTTTATTTCATATGTAGTGTCCGACTGTTGCAATTTTTTTTTCCTATTTTTGGCCACTTGTCTATTACGACATTCAGCCAGCTTAATTCTTAATTTTTTTAATTAGCGTTTAAAATCGGACAAATACAGACACACACACACATTTAACATCCATGTCCGGGGCCGGATTCGAACCGGCGACCTTGCGTCTACTAGAAAGCAGCGCAATCATTTCGACCACAAGGCCGACACTGTCTGTTGTAATTTAGCTAAGTTTGACTAAATTTTGTGAACACTTTGTATAATCAACTACGACATAACCACATCTTATACAATAGCAGCTGGTCATCTTCGACTTTTTTGAGTAACCTCGTAGCAATTTCTAAACCTACAAAGGAACTGCTAGTGCTCAACAGGAATAAAGTTTAGATTACAAATAGGTCTCTTAACAGGACATATATGACTGTCAAGTGATACCTGAACTAGCACAACCTGTATCAAGGAAATATTTGCTACAGACTCTGTGATAAAGATCCGGAAACAGCAGAGCACATAATATGTCACTGTGAGGTTCTGGATCGCAAGTGACTCTTTCTGTTCGGGAAACCAAAACTAAAACCGGAGAAACTATGCTCCCATCCTATCAAAGACCTGCACAAGCTGGTGCAGGCCTTAGTGATAGGAAACTGTGCAGACATAGAAAGGGAAGAAATACAATAGGCCTTACAGGTATGCTTTACAGGTCGCAGAGTTTCCGGCATAGGATCACCCCTTAATACTGAGGAAAAAACGTTGCCAGCAATCAGTTCAAAAGTCTCGATATTTTTTATAAACGGGCTTCAATGTCTCAGAATCCGATTTGTTACACGACATAAGATAAGCTAATATCCTTATCTAGGTCGGTATGATTGCAAGTTGGCAGGCTGGTTATAACTAGGCTGTGATATAAATATGCGTAGCTTTGAATAATGTTTTAACTGTACTTAGTAGTGCTAATTATTTTTCTTTCTTTTAGAAATATAAATATTATAAATCGTAGAAGACGAGAATGAAATAATTCTTACTCTCATCATGTACAGGGTGAGTCAACGATAGAGTAAAGTCCATTATCTCATTTGTTTCGAGGTTTACAAAAAAAATTAATTATAAAAGTTATAAGGAAGGTTGAGATACACATTTTAAAATTATTATAGAGTATACAAGGTGCTTCAAAAAAGTGTGGCGGATATAACATATGTTTTTTTAAATGCACCACCCTATTTTTTAATTTATTTTTAGATTCTGCATAAAATTCCATAACTTTTTTGTATATAATGTTATATACCTAAAACTAAGATATAAGAAAAGATATTTTAGTTAAATGATACAGGGTGTTCAAAATATATTTATGAATTTCAACTACTTAAAATTAAAAAATCTCAAATTTTTTAAATGTTACACCCTATATATTATCATTTTTTCTGGTAGATTTTACAAAACTCTTCAATTTTTATTAAGTATGTCATATACATATTTTTAATAGTTAGTTCTAGCGAATACCCACAGATTAAGGTAATACTAGATTACCTAATTATTGTTGATGACTACTGATATAAGAATTTTCCTCAAAATACAGCAAAGTTTTTTTCTCGTAGTAATTCTAGTTTATAATTCATATCATATAACCAATATTACTACTGCCGCGAAACCGTCCCATTACCACACTGAAAATAACATATAATATAATATAAAAATGTTTTCTAGATAATCTACATCTATTCTTATAGTACTTAATGAAGTAGGTACTATATAATATATAGTACTGAACTAAAAAATATGTTTTTCTTGGCTTGTTCGTGTATATCAGTCATATTGACTAATTAATTTCAGGGAACTCTGTAACTATTAACTCTATCATTTATACTGATTACAAAAAATTAAACTAAAATTTAAGTTTTGTTCTTAACTTGCTTAACAGCGCTGAAATTTTGATAATTATTAATTTTTGTCATGGCAACTATGATTTTATAGCATAATTGTGTTAAAAATATGGGTAAAAATAGAAAAAATTGGAATAAATCGCAAACTATTAAAAATAGGTATATGCATGACATACTTAATAAAAGTTGAAGAGTTTTATAAAATCTATCAGAAAAAATGATAATATATAGGGTGTATCATTTAAAAAATTTGAAATTTCTTAATCTTAAGTAGTTGAAATTCATAAATATATTTTGAACACCCTGTAGCATCTAACTAAAATATCTTTACATAGGTCTTTTTTTATATCCCTATAAAATTCTCCTACCAAATTTTAGTTGTCCAACTTCAGAAACAATGGCATCACTGACAATTTTTTACCACACTGCAATCTAACGTTTGTTTAAACAAATTTAAATATTACAAAAACTATTAATTTTAGATATATAACATTATATACAAAACAGTTATGGAATTTTACGCAGAATCTAAAAATAAAATAAAAAATAGGGTATTGCATTTAAAAAAACATATGTTATATACGCCACACTTTTTTGAAGCACCCTGTATACTCTATAATAATTTTAAAATGTGTGTCTTAACCGTCCCTATAATTTTTATAATTAATATTTTTTTGTAAACATCGAAATAAATGAGATAATGGACTTTACTCTATCGTTGACTCACCCTGTACTTGTCGAGTATTTAAAAAATATTTAAGACAATTGTTTTCGAATTATCCATGTTAGAATACAACCCATTGTATTATCTATCCATTTTTAAGAATCGCTGGTCAAAAGAAAAAATACGATTCATTTCTGAATGGTAATAAAGATATTACGATGTCTCAAGGATAGATCTTATTGTTATAAACAGATATATTTAAAAAAATATGTTATTGCATTTTGCATACTAACGAAGTGTATTGTTTTGTAGTATTTTTATGTTTGGAAATCCTTAAATTAGTTGAATATTATTCATTATTAAAAAGTGAAATTTGCATAAAACCAAAAAAGTATGAGAGACTGAAGTGGTTTTATTTGCATAATAATCGTAAAGTAAAAATAGATGTAAATACGAGTAAATTATTGAAAAAGGAGCATTAATGGGATTTATTTTACAGGTACCAATATTTTACAAACTATGAAATTACCATTATACAGGGTGTTTCAAAACAAATGCGAAAAACTTCAGGGGGTGATTCCTTGTTCAAAATAAAGGGTAGTTTGCTTCATAAACGTTGGGTCAAAAGTCAACCATTAGGGAGATATTGCGGTACAAAGATGGCGGAAAAATAATGTTTTTATTTTTTATCTTGAAAACGAAAAGAGATAGACTAATAAAATTTTATGGAAGCATTACTGTTATGAAAACACACTTTCTGGTAATTTTTTCACATTTTTAAAAATGAGTGGAAGGGTTGAAATAAACTACCCCTATCATTCTTGTTAACGAAATTTAAAGAAAAATCTTATCAAATACATGCAAAAAAATTAATTTGGATAGTTTAGTTTGTTTAGAAACTTTTATCTCTTGTATTTTTTTGATAAAACTCACCGATTTGAAATTAAAAAATAAAATGTAAAGCATTACATGTCAGGACAAAAAAACATTTTCTGATAAAGAATCTAGTGGGCTGCTGTAATTTTTTAGGAAAAATCTAGTCGGCCGCTGTTACTTTTTTAGATGTTCCTAATATTATTTTATTTGACATTACTCTACTGCAATACGTTATTATCTAGATGATTATTATTATCGTTATTATCACTAGATTCTTAATCTAAAAATGTTTTTTGTCCTCACATGTAATGCTTTACATTTTATTTTTTAATTTCCAATCGGTGAGTTTTATCAAAAAAACACAAGAGGTAAAAAAGTTTCTAAACAAACTAAACTATTCAAATTAAAGCATTTGCATGTGTTTGATAAGATTTTTCTTTAAATTTCGTTAACAAGAATGATAGGGGTAGTTTATTTCAACCCCTTCCACTCATTTTAAAAAAGTAAAAAAAATACATGAAAGTGTGTTTTCATAACAGTAATGCTTCCATAAAATTTCATTAGTCTATCTCTTTTCGTTTTCAAGATAAAAAATAAAAACATTATTTTTCCGCCATCTTTGTACCGCGATATCTCCCTAGTGGTTGACTTATGACCCAACCTTTATAAAGCAAACTACCCTTTATTTTGAACAAGGAATCACCCCCTAGAGTTTTTCGCATTTGTTTTGAAACACCCTGTATATTGGATATTGAGCCTAATTTTACTCATAATTATAACTCCTCGATGTATTAAATAAACAAGTTAGTATATAAAAATGTATATACTTATCTAACAATACTAATACATGTTAACTTTAAGGCGGTTTTTAACTTTCTTAGTAGCCTATAAAGAAAAATATGTACTTACGATATTGGCAAAGAAAGAACTCGCTTTGACGTCCTCGTGTTCTTTCAAAGTGTATCTCTTGAGGAGAGTGTTGGTATTCAAGTCGTAGATGACTACTGCAGGTGGAGAAATCTGTTTGGGGCTTCCCAAAATGTCAGCTAATCCGGTGTCCATAACCCAAAGTCGGTCACAAGGGTCCACAGAAACTCTAAACAGAAATTAGTACGATTTTAGAACATCATCGGTAAATTAATATACAGGGTGTCAAAAATAGTGTATCTAACTTCGGTGGGTGATTCTACAGATAAAAATTAAACATATGCCCTAAAATGCTTCCCGAAGAAATTACAGCCCTTGAAAGGTTAAATAAATATAATATATTTCTTTATTTTTAAGAACATTGGTAAACCGTTTTTTCTTGAAATTTATTGGTACTCTTACACACATTTTAATGCCAAAGCAAATGGCGATAGTAGTAAAATTCCGTAACAGGCGTGAAAGGGTACTTTCCATTAGGGTAGAGAGTACTAGTGGTACTTCTTTTATCCTTATAGATTCAGTAATTTCAGTAAATGAAAATTAAAGCTAGGATTTTTTTTACTATGTAAAAATGTGCTCTTCATTTAGTTCAAAAAAGTGAACGGTTTTCAAGATATTTGCGTTTAAAGGTTCCGATGCATCCATTTTAGCATTAGCGAAATCAGGAGATTAATTTATTTAAAATTTCGTTAAAGATTATTGCTAGTGACCTGAATGTGGAGATGATATGATTATCACTTTCGGGTTTGGTATCGCCTTTTGGGATTGTGTTGGCTTTCCAGTCTGGATACGGTATGAATGTTGCGCTCTTGTTTATTGGGGCGTCCAGTGGAACGTATGCAAGACTTGCTGCCACTCCGTTTTTCCATCTAAAACAAAAAATTATAATTAATATAGTTGTCTATAAATAGAGACAATATAGTTTCCAATGTATTAAAAGTAAAAGAGATACAGACGATGACTAGCTATGAGAGTGAGTGTCAAAAAATGCGTTTGAATAATTTAATAAATTAGTCATCCATGATTCCAGAGAGGCGACTCTCTGAACTTCATTGAGCTTGGGCATTGATTTTATTTGTTGAGTGTTAGACCACCAAACAATGGAGCCATAAGCTATAATGGTCTCACGATCACAGTGTACATCCACATTACTACTATTATCCCAGGTTTTTAGTCCTGTAACAACTTTCATATGATATATAAAACTTTTTTTAGTCTCCTTTCCAGGCGAATATACCAACTGAGTTTTGAATCAAAAGTTAAGCCTCTGTAATCTATCAAGTAGTACTATCAATAGTATTTTTTTTTCTGGGAATAGTAAAAAAATCTTCTTAGACGCCTGTGCTGGAACTCTGTAACGAAATAGCGATCGGTAGCGATGAAGGATACTTTGATACCTTGGCCGTACAAGCTAAACGGCAAGCGACAGTATTCTTTATCGCTACCGATCGCTATTTCATTACAGAGTTCCACCCCTGGTCTGTTGTTCTAGCGACCGAGGTGTGCCGGATTCCTACTGACTAAAAAAATTCCACCCTGTTTGTTTGACAAACTGCGCTGGAACTGCTCACGCATTATAATAATAATAATAATAAATAATAAATAACGCTTTATTGTACAAAAAACCAAAATACCTTCATCGACAAAGCATTTACAAGACAAACAAAAGCACAAAAAATATACAAATAATAAAAAATACAATACAAATCATACAATTCAAAAAAAATACGTCATTACTTCATTACTTTCATTACTTCATTTACTTCATTACGGCATTACTTCGGCGCAGATGCCCCTCTCTACATTAGACTTTGGTCTTTGATCATTCTTCAGCCCTTCGTTGATCAAGCCCTTTCTGTCGTAGAATCTGTGATATAAACGCCACGAAAGCCTCCCATATATCTTCGTCCTCCACAATAGAGTGTATTAGGTTTTCTTTTTTAAAGGGTACCTTAAAAATCCCTTTGATCTTTAATCTACCTGGTTCCCAGGCCGAGCATTCAAAAATAGTGTGACTGACGTCGTCGATGGCACTATCAATAGTACTATCAATCTCAGTAAGCTATCAAGGCCCAAGTTCCATAGCAGCTTTAACAGAACTCCACCCTACGGACAGCTTCTCGTCAGCACTCCTACAATCTCTTCATCTCTCACTCTGATTTTAACAGAGAGAGCATTTTCTTCTGAGATCATGTTGGATATCCAGCCACTAACCACATCAGGAATCGCCCTTTTTAGACGCTGTTGTTCTTAAATCTCAACGTATCTTTTATCATCATCATTATCATTTTCAGCTTATTCAACATTTTCCAATTATGGTGTAGCCTCCCTCACATATTTAGATGCTCTGTAGTTGGGCCCATTGTTGTCTATTATTGGCATCTGCCCATTTCTATTTGAGAGATTTGACTCTATGGATGACATCTATTACCTGGGTCTTTTGTCGTATCCATTCTATTCTTTTACGGTCTCTCTTGGTTATTTCCAGCATATTTTGTTCTATTGAGCGTTGTGCGACCTGCAGTTTCCTTATGATGTCCAGGTGCATAGGTCATGACTTGTAGTACACATTGGTCGAATATTTTCTTCTTTAGATAGAGTAGCAATCTGTATTTAAATATGATTGAATTTCTTCCATAATTTAAATATGATTGAGCATCTTTTATATCGATGAATATATCGAAGGTGGAGTCTCTGTTGTCCAGCTATTTCTGAATTTGGACAGCCTTGCTCATCTTGAATGAATATATAATGTGATAACCCAATAATGAACTAGCTCTTTTCAGATAATCCTTTCCTGGCAGCATACCCATTCCTCAAAAGGTGCTGGATACGCCACAGTACTACCCATCCTAACCAGATCCAATGTTCCTACCCTCAATATACATTTATATTTTCAGAAGCTTTTTCGGTCTGGGATGTAGGCTTAATTATTACTTCAAAGAGAAGAGCATATGGATGCCGAGGGTATGGGATTATTCCAGATGCTTGAGAAAACGCTTTCTGTGCGCATAGTTTGAATGAAATAATAATGAAAGCTAAGAAGAAGAATTTATCTAGTCCAGACCAGCCACTTTATGGAGGACAATGCTGGTGTATTTGCCCCTAAAATTTGCCCTGGGTGTTGATTAAGATATAAATGAGTATTTATATCTGAACCAACATCTTAACCTATACTATTTCTTAAATATTGATTGCATAGTCTTTTCGTATACAACAGAGATGATATGGTCGGTAAAATTTTGGGCCGAAGTAGTCGATTTTCCTCACTTTTTGTATGAGCATAACTTATTCCTTAGTACATGTTTTGGAGTATAACAGGTATAATATATTAGCACAATTTGAATATTCACCAGGTGTTCAACATCTAGTTCCATAAATAGTTCATGCAATAATACGAAAAAATAAATCCCATTTAAAAAACATGTGACCTATTAGGTTAATTTACATTAATTATTCATATAGCACATTATATCTTTCAGGTATAATTAATTAACAATGCTTAATCTCGATCGACTAAATCCGTGCACACGCTAAACACCATACCACAACCATACTTATTTAAGGAAATCTCCAATTATCTTTTCAACAATGCTCCACCATTTGTCACACTTTGTATGCAAATTAAACGCAAATTATAATTCATTAAAAACGATTTTATTAAAAATGAAAACCTTTTAATGCAATGTCATTGCTAAACAGCTACAAGAACCGGTGTTTAAAAACGTTATGTTCAAGTGTAATTATGGTAATCGGCATCGACCTGTTACGTAAGGCACTGCGATTAATCAAATCGGATAATTGCATCAGCCGCCCTAGAGTTACGCCCGTGGGTGATTGTTTTCTCTTTTCCAAAGGTGCGCGAGGCGTGTTTTATAGTCGGTTTAAATGATTATTTCCTCGGATACAGGGTGATCTCTCATGGTACAATCAAATAGTTATAATTATGTGTAATGTTTTAAAATGCTAGAGAGTTTATTTTTCGGTAACTCAAATCAGTTACTTTTTTAAATATACAGGGTGTTTCAAAAAACAATTGCCATCTTTCGTGGAGAGATTCCTCACGGAAAAATAAGATTTATTTTTTCTATCAACATAGGTCCGATTCTGCTTTGTTTCATAGCTACAGGGTGTTAAAGTCTTAATATTTTTTCGATTTATTACAATTTTCTTCTCAAGTACTTCTAGCGTTTCGAATGAAATTTTTAGGATAAAAGTTGCTATAACTGAAACGCCAAACACAACGCAGCCGTCAGAAAAGTGTCATCATTACATCGCAAATTATTCCACAAAACTGGCAAAAACTGAGTCAGTCTGCTGCTAATTTGTAGTCGTAGAAAAAATAGCGTAAAAAACTCGTTCGAAAACTTCTTTGTACACTCTTTCGACTTGTGGCTCTTACCTGCGGCTCGAGCCAACAAACTGTCGAACTCATGTGCAAAACGCCGTTTTCGAAACTCGTTGTTTAATATACTATTATTAATCTATACTGATATATAAAATCCTTAAGTGACTGACATAGTGATTAATCACGATCCTGCTCAAACCACTCAACGTAAGAAGCTCAATTTTGGCATACAGGTTGATTCTAGGGTGTAGTGGTTCGATAAGAAGGGATTTTTCGAAATTCCAGTTCCAAGAGGGTGAACCCACCATTCAAATATTACAATATTTTTTATTTAAAAGACGGTCAAGTTTCCGAAAAAACGCATTGTTTTTTTACATATTTTAAGATTTTTTAAAAATGTATACAGGGTGTTTCGAAAAATTTGGTCATTGATTAATCACGATCCTGCTTAAAGCGCTTGACGTAAAAAGCTCATTTTTGGAAAACAGATTGACTTTAGGGTGTAGAGATTCGATAAGAAGGGATTTTTCGAAACTCGAATTCTAAGGGGGTGAAACTATCTCTCAAATATTAAAATATTTTTTATTTAAAAACCAGTTTCATAAAATATGACCATTGAATAATCACGATTCTGCTTAAACTGCTTGACGTTTAAAGCTGATTTTTGGCAAACGGATAGACTGTGGGTGTAGACTTTCGATAAGTAGGGGTTTCTCGAATCTCAAATTCCAAGAGGGTGAAAACGCCCCTCAAATATTACAATATTTGTTATTTAAAAAACGGTTAGTCTTTCGGGAAAACGCTTGGACACGCATAATTTATTTGGTTTTTTACATATTTTGAAATTTTTTAAAAAATCATACAGGGTGTTCCAAAATGTTGGGTAATTTCTTAACCACGATTCTGTTTAAACTGCTTGACGTAAAAAGCTTTTTTTTGGCAAACGGATTTTTCGAAAGTCAAATTCCAACGAGATGAAACTACCCCTCAAATATTACCAAGTCATATAATAATATCGCCATATTGTATTTTCTCATGCTGACATAAATGTGAGAAAATTTTATCCAGTTTGTATGTTAATGGAAATTCTTGCTTTGCTTTATCATCAACATTACAAATGATTAATTCGACGTGAACGAAGTCGCTTGTACACGCTAGTTCTGATTAATAAAATTGCGTTTATCTCATCAAGGAGGCCGAATTCGACAAAATATCAAGAGATAGCTTTTAATTGGCATTAAATGACCTATACAATTTTGATATTAAAAGAAAAAAGTCAATGGCGCACATGTTTTTTTTTTAAATATTCCAGTGATAGCCCATATGCACGTCCCTGATGAATTTATCGACACTTTTTTAGCATTAAAATATGTAGCACTTATAGTAACTTTCACCCTCAAAATTTCATTCGAATCACTAAAAGTACTTGGAAGAAAATTGTAATAAATCGATAGATTATTAACAATTTAACACCCTGTAGCTACGAAACAAAGCAGAATCGGATATATGTTGATATGAAAAATAAATCTCATTTTTACGTGAGGAATCTCCCCACGAGAGATGGCACATGTTTTTGAAACACCCTGTATATTATATTCTCTAAATTTTCACTTTTATTTTCTTTCTTTTTCTTTCAATGCGTTCATGTACTACTGCCATTACTCACTGACGAGTATTTGACACGCATCAGAAGATGGTTACGCAAGGCGTTTTCTTTCATGAGCTTTTCTGTGACTGAAAAGCCCGATACGCGATTTTATCTCTCTTCCGCACTCCGGACATTCAAAAATCGTATTGCTTTGTTGCCTTATTACTTTTTGGTTGTCGCTGTTAACTGAGTTTACAATTCTTCTCCATTGCGTTCTATTGTGCGCTGCTTCTTCCCACTCATTCTGTATGTATATCCCCTTTAAGTTTTCGTGGAAAATATCCTTGTATGATTTGAGTTGTCCACCCAGTTTTCTCTTGCCAACTACAAGCTCACCATAAAACAGAGGTTTTGGTAGGCGGTTTTCTTACATTCTGCATACGTGACCAGCCTATCTTAAGCGGGATTTTGTAGTCATGACTTCAACGCTCTCGCAGTTAGCTTTTTCAAGAACCGATACTTTTGAGACATGGTGGAACCATTTGATTCTAAAGAGTTGTCTAAAGTGTCTTTGCAACTTGTTTAATGCGTTCATGTGCTGGCGATACGGCATGCGGCACCCAGGTTTCGCTTCCATATAACATGGTAGGGATTATTATTGCTTGGTACAGTGCAAGTTTCGTTTTTGTACCCAAGTCATGATTATAGAAAACCCTGTCCTTTAATTTCCAGAAAGCTATTGAGGCGCTGCTAATTCTGTGCTGAATTTCAGAGTCGATATTGGTCTTTTCCGAAATCAAACTGCCGAGGTAATTAAATTCCACTACATATTCCAATAGTTCCTCTCCGGTTTTTATAACGTTGTTGTGATTTTCCGGAGGAGTACACATGATTTTAGTTTTATCGATGTTCAGCTTAAAAAAAGCCTCGTATGCACATGTATTTAGCATTTTTTTGAAATTGCTGTAACGATTTTGCAACTAAAGCGCAGTCATCAGCGTATTGAAGTTCTGTTTTGAATTTTATACGTGTTTTTGCCCTAAGTCTTTTTATGTTGAACAGACCGCCGTCGTATCTGTATCTAATGGCTATTCCTCTTTCCTGCAGTTTGGTGTCCACTATAGGGCTGCCATGAATATGTTGAATAGGATAGGTACTGACACATCCCTGCCTAACTCCTGTATTTGTTAGGAAGGAATCGCTCTTCATGATGTGACACTCTCGAATTGTTGTTTTTATAGAAGCATACTATACACACTACACACTGTAAGAAATTTGTTGGGTATTCCGAACTTTTGCATAATTGATCGAAGTGCGTATTAAAAGAAATTTTGTAAAGAAACAACTAAATTAAAAAATAAATTGTTAGTATGTTATTAAGCATACAATTTGCTAATAAAAACTCGTTCTTGTTATGCTATAGATACAGAATATTATATTTTATGTCTTGCAATATACGAAGGTGATCTGGGTCTTCATTTCATCCTTGTAAGTTTAATTTTTTTATGCCAATTCATATTACAACAGCATCACATGATGATCCTTAACTGAAAAACGTGTTCGTTAATAATCTCATACGGTAAATGACCTTTAATGACTTTTATTTAAAGCAAGTTTTTTATACCAATAGATATTGAGTTAGTGTTTTCTATGTTAGTATATGATTTTTATTTACGACTGATTGTTTATGTTATGTTTTTCTGGCATTGTTTTAATAAATATTATTGGTGTATCCTTAATGAATTATATACAGGGTGTCCTGTATATAATTGTGTCCTGTATATGAATTATATACAGGGGGCTGAGCGTGCATTAGAAGTTTCTACAACATCTGGATCGGAAATTTTTTGAAAATCATTGTTTCACAGCGAGATCTATCGACTAAAATTATTTTCAATATGGCGGCACTTCCGGAAATTGACGGCAACTTTCCTATTTTAAGTGGGTATCTTAATTTTTCATTACATACTTAAATTCTCTGTAAAACTTTATAAATTTTCATATTAAACACTACCTATACCAAAATGGTTTCATACGAAACCCAACATCTTTTCTATTACCAACTTTTATTATTTATTTACTTTCCATCTACCAAACTCAAAATCTTTTGACTAGTGAAATAAGAAAGTGGAGTTCCATTTGAAAAAAATGAAAAATATTTATTATTTTAGTGCGAGGAAGTCCAATGTCGGTCGTTTTAGGTCGTCTTAACAGATGTTGCATGATTTATAAAGGGGCATATACTAAAAACTAAAAATATTTTTTGGTATACAGGGTGTGCCAAAAAAAAAGTTATGATAAAGTTTTATTTTTGTTTTAAATTTGCGCAACATTTGTATAAAACTTTCTTTCATAAATATATTCAATAACAACGACGATATTGAACTTCATCGTACTAATGGGCTACCCTGTATATAGTATACGGTTTTCCAAAATTATAAACTTACAAAATTATCATTAATCATTTTCTTCAAATGGAACTCCACTTTTGTATATACAGGATGTCCCAAAAGTAAGTGCAAGTATTTTAACTGGTAGTATATTTCGGCTTCAGAAACACTCCTATGAGTTTTTTTGCAAAAAAAAATTTGGAAATTTTTTTAGTTTTAAGTTAAAAAACATAATTTCTTGATAATATGGCAACATAGATAGTAGATTAAATTTACATGAAAGAACATCCAGAAAAGATCCAGTGGTGCTCAAAATTTAAGCAAAAAAACTTTTTTGTTTAAATTTTCAAAGTAAAGTAACTAACTCGGTTATTTTGGACTTATTTGAAAAATGGTAAAGAGAAAAAATGTTTCTTTTGGCCAGATATACCACCCCTTAAAATACTTGCATTTATTTCTAGTACACCCTGTATCTTAAGAGCGCTATTAGTATTGTATATTTTTATAAAAGATTAGTGGAAATCTCAAACTGGAAATCTAATATTATTTTTTTTTGGAACATAAAGCATCAATTAGGAAACATAGAAATGTAATTCCCTTACCTGGGCACAGTAACGAACAGCTTATTCTTCCACCTGTCCAGCCCCAAAGGCAAATTGTTCTCGGGCACGTATTCTCCATCTTTGATAGCGGCGTTCTTGGCATCCTCATTGGGCCAGTCAAAAGTCAACTCCTTCCAGGCAAACACTTCCTCCAATTCGGCCAAAGCGTTGGCCTGGTAAACGACGAAGAGCGTCAAGAACAACGCTCGAAGGACCAACATTGTATGTTATTATATTTGTGTTTGTTCGGTTCGAGATTCTGCCGTACACTGAGCCGCGTCTCGATGGGGGAAACGGTTTTATTTTGGAGAAGGAACGGATTGGAGGTGGATGGTCGGTTTTGGGAGAGATTCAGTCTTTTTTTCTGTATTTTTTTATCGTTTTTAATTTCGCTTGTCTGATTGTTCATCGGATATTCGATATTGTTTTTTTTTATTGTGTAAAGAGCCTCTACAGACGCTCAGTTACTCAGTTCTTTAACACGAATGGACTATGCAGGCCAGTTTGTGCAGTTTCAACTGTGCAGTTTTAACGATAAATTATTTTAAGACTTTGTTTTTTTTTTCTAAAAGGACATCTTAATTTATTATTCTTTTTAACAACTACTTCCTTATTTGCTTCCGAATAATTCTCTTTTAGTTTTTCTACTATATGTAGTGGTTGGGGACTTTTTATTCTTGTTACAATAATCCTTATTTTTTATTCTCCGTAATGGCATGCTTTTATACCGGATGCGTCTCAAAAGTTGCTCACCCCCATAACGTTTTTATTTTTTCAGTTAAAAAAATGATATTTGGTATGTTAGTATATGACATTAATTAGGATAGATTGGCGTATTCAATTGCTTTCGGTCACTTCCTGTTTCACCGGAAATCACTACAACTTTTGATTTTTAAATGGTACCCTCTGTATGTTTTTACTTTATTCGACAGAAAATAACACTCTGCATAGAATGACATATCAAATGACAACAACCAACTTTTAACATTTTTGCATATGGTTTATTTGAAATTATAACATGCTGTTCATAACGAAAATTTGACTCGAAATATCAAGTATGTAGTATCAAATTATTCGTAAAAAATGCCTTTTCCAAATATGCTAATGAGCCACACTCGTTCCATTTAAAAAAATTGAGATATGATGGCACTCTAGATTGAAAATTAAAATACGATTTTTTATTGAGCGAGAATGACAAAAGTTGACATTGATATGTCATTCTATTCAAAATGTCATCTTCTACCAAATAAGGTAAAAAATACCGAGGGTGCCATTTAAAAATCAATAGGCGTAGTCATTTCCGATGAAATAGGAAGTGACCAAAAACATCGAATATGTCAATCAATCCTAATTTATGTCATATATACTAACATGCCAAATCTCGGTTTTTATCTGAGAAAAAAAATAAAAAAGTTATAGGGGTCAGCCACTTTTGAGACGCACCCGGTATAATTCAATAAAATGGCATTAAAACTGTTTACTACAAATCGGCATTTTATTTCCAGTTAAAGGTTGATTCTCACTATACCTTCCATATCAGCTCCCTTCTGTTTCCCTTCTATTTACAAAAAATATTATATCATGTAAATGAATAGGACAATACACATGCACACCATCCGTTCCGTTTCCCTTCCGTTCCATATCCTTTCCTTCCATACATTTTTTTGGCGGACGGACTGAAGCGTATCGGAAACAGCGTTGTCAAGTTCTTAGATTTGTACCAGCTCTGTTAAAATATTTTTCTAATATTTATTTATTCTTTCACCTCTTAACTAAATCTATTACTTTTTTCAAAAGATACAAATTTTTAAAATAAAACTTTCGTAATGATATAAATTGTAGGTACAATAAAAAGTTTGTAACTGATACGGAACGGAAACTTACGTATAGCGTCAATGCAATAAAAAATACGGAACAGATATGGAATGGAAACGGAAGGTATAGTGAGGATTAACCTTAATAAAGACTGAAAAAATGTGAAAGAAAATAAACGAGCATTTTGGGCAGACCAAATCCAAGCAGGGTCCGATTTCGCTCAGGCCAGGCCAGGTGTGCACAGGCGGCCTGAGTTGGGGGCCTTTAGGCTCATCGTAATCCTCTGACTATGACGCAGCTCACCAAAGTTTGGTCGAACAGTCATATAACAAAATCGACAAAAATAAACCTGGTAATTGTCTTTCCGGTTATGCTTTATGCTTCGGAGACATGGACATTGTTAGCAGCCGACAGACGACGCATTGACGCATTCGAGATGTGGTGCTGGAGGAGGATGTTGCGAATACCATGGACAGCACATGGCACCAATGTGTCGGTCCTTAACGAAATCCAATTATCACAAAGACTTTCCAGCACTGTCTATATATACTTTCCTTCTTCGGCCATGTCAACAGGAGGGTGCACATGGAGAGACTGGTAGTACAAGGAAGACCTGCAGGATCCCGTCGCCGAGGCAGATCACCAACCAGGCGGATGGATATGGTTAAAAAACTTATGAATACCAACCTGGAGGGAGCCGTTCGAAGGACAGAAAACAGGGAAAATTGGAGACGGGCGGTGCGTGCGGCCGTCAGGTCCTTGGAGCCAGAAGCAGAGCCACCACACGTCGTACGCGACGTACGGACTTAGACGAGTCCTCTAAACTCTAGGTTACATCTTCTAGTCATGCGTCTTTTCACGAAGTCTAATAACTTGGAGACTGAATCTTCAATTTAGCCTGGCACTGTGGTTCTTTGTACCACCGATTCGATATGCTAGCGCATTATGCAGCTGAAATAATCTATATAAAACTGAAAAAGTTGTCTTTCTTTTCGCAAAGTCAGTAATGTAATTACTAGAAGATTGAATCTTCAATTTAGCTCCTTACCAGTGATATCATATTGCCTAGTACAAAGAACCACACATTCTACTGTCTATCGCATTACCATAGAATATGTTCTGCCGTTTTTTCTTCTGATTGTTAGAATTTACACACGATTTATATACTTATTAAGTTTGCGGTTAACCCAATAAAACATACTTACGTGCTATTGATGAGCAAAAGATATACCAAGACTAAGAGAAGAGCTCCTTGGTCTTGCACTTGCAGTTTAATAAGTAGTCTTGGTCTTGTTCTTTCAGGGTCCAGTCTTAGCCTTGGTTTTGCTGCAAGACTCTTTCATTGCGAAGGGATACAATTTCTTCATAGAAAATATTTAAAAAAATAATTTTTAAGTAATTGAAAGCAGGGGTGGATGGGCCATATGGGAAAACGGGAAAATTCCCGGTGGGCCGGTGGAAAGATGGGCCGGTGGGCCGGTCCCGATCAGAACTCAAAAAAAGATTGATTTAGGAAAAATTAAATGGTTAATCTTCTAACTAAAATTACGTAAGATTCTAGTGACTGCCTAACTAACTAATCAATTTGCATCAATATAATGGTTAGTTGCTTTTAAACATAAACATCAATTTTTAAAATAACTAGGTATTGTTAGATGTTTTCCTCTGAGACACTTATAATTTTAATAAATATCTAATAATTTTGTTTGTTGTTCCATTTGAAATGTTTTTTTTTGTTTGCTTTGTGCAAGCAAATATTTTCAGGGCTGGTAGATATGAATAAAAAAAAACATACTATATTCTCTTTGCCGTGTTTCAAATAAGTCCAAAATAACCGAGTTATTAAAATTTGAATTTAAAAAAAACTGATTTTTTAAAAAAAAAATTGCCGCCTAAATCTTTCTGTATTTGCATCACTTTTTGTGCCGTAATATCAAAGATTAAGAAACTATACCGTGGAAAAAATTGCAGTGAACAGGAAGTTCTAAAAAATTTTCTAAAATATACAGGAAAATTTAAAAGAAAAAGCACGATTTTCAACATTTTTACAAAAAAAACTCATAGACGTGTCCTGGCACCTGGTGGTGATATAATATACCACCCCTGAAAATATTTGCGCTTATTTAAGACTCATTCTGTATAGTTTGACTAATATTCTTTTATTAAAACACATTTATGTCCACTGCTTAGGTATTGCCTAGGTTTTTTTCGTTTGAGTCATGGCATTATCATACAAGATGCCAAATGTAGAAACTAGGAAAAGTTACGTGATGAGAATTATACCAAAATTAAGACACGTATACATGACGAGGCTGCTGCTGTACCAGAAAAAAGAGGCTTTCTTTCTACAATCTGTAAGAAAATATATATCAGAAAATCTAAAAATAATGTATTTCATAGAGGATTGTTCCAGCTGAAGAACTTAAAGTTTCTCAAAACCGTGATTCAAAATCGTAGCATATTCAAGATCAAATGTTATCGATAATGGAAATAAAACAGTAGAACCCTGTGAAACTGAGCTATTTTCTAGTAAGAATTCAGATGTCCCACCCGATATTGATCTTTATAAAAATTTGGATCAAGACAATTTCAATATTTTTAAAAAATCGGAGGCAAAAGAGTTTTTTTCGCCCGAGCGAAAATCCCTTACTTAAGGATAGTTGACCCTTACCTAGGGTGTCCCAGAAATAAGTGCAAGTATTTTAAGAGGGTGGAATTTGGTCAAAAGAAACATATTTTCTCTTTATTGTTTTTCACATAAGTTCAAAATAACGGAGTTATTTTACTTTGAAAATTTCACACCTCTACTTTTCAACCAATAACATGCTTTAATGTTTACTAGTTTCCGGAAATTTTTTCGAGGCGCCACGAAACTTTAGTCGAAATTTTTTGACAGTTGAAAAGGTAAACATAAGATCTACAATCATAATGTGAATGAACTACAATGTCTATATATTGAAATATTACCCATTTGAGTTTTAGCATTTGATGTAACTAAGGTTGGTAATATTTTTTGATTTAAGGAAATATGTTAGATATACCTACATATGAATTTCTTCGAAATTGCCATGTTCTAAAAAATATAGTTCTGCCGCCTTTATTTAACTAAAGCTGGTATTTTTCTATTTAACGAAATATGATGGATATATCTATATGATTTTTTTAGAATTTATTTCATGTTGAATTATCTTCAATCCAAATCTTTAATGATATCGACTAATATAGCAAAATAATAACGAAACACATTTAGTAATTATAGGTTTTATTAATATTAAAAACACAATTATTGTAAATGTTTGTAGGCTGGCTTGAATTGGTGGTTTGAATCTGGGTATTTTCTGTTTTATTTTGCATTGTGCTCTGATCATGATTGAACTGGCTAGTACTTGATGAAATGCTCCTCATGGATTCAATCATCTGTTGATGATGTTCAGCGTCCAACTGTAAGTAAGGTTTGATCGACTGACTATTACTATGTCCAGTA